CGGAACACGCACCGCTATAACACAGAACACGCACCGCTATAACGTGGAACACGCAACCGCTATAACACAGAACACGCACCGCTATAATGTGGAACATGCACTGCTATAACAAAGAACACGCACCGGTATAACACAACACGCACCGCTATAACACAGAACACGCACCGCTATAACGCGGAACACGCACCGCTATAACACAGAACACGCACCGCTATAACACAGAACACGCACCGCTATAACACGGAACACGCACCGCTATAACACAGAACACGCACCGCTATAACGTGGAACACGCACCGCTATAACACAGAACACGCACCGCTATAACACAGAACACGCACCGCTATAACGCGGAACACGCACCGCTATAACACAGAACACGCACCGCTATAATGTGGAACACGCACCGCTATAACACAGAACACGCACCGCTATAATGTGGAACATGCACCGCTATAACACAGAACACGCACCGGTATAACACAACACGCACCGCTATAACACAGAACACGCACCGCTATAACGCGGAACACGCACCGCTATAACACAGAACACGCACCGCTATAACACAGAACACGCACCGCTATAACGCGGAACACGCACCGCTATAACACAGAACACGCACCGCTATAACGTGGAACACGCACCGCTATAACACAGAACACGCACCGCTATAACACAGAACACGCACCGCTATAACACAGAACACGCACCGCTAAAACACAGAACACGCACCACTATAACATGGAACACGCACCGCTATAACACAGAACACGCACCGCTATAACGTGGAACACGCACCGCTATAACGTGGAACACGCACCGCTATAATCTGGAACACGCACCACTAACACAACACGCACCGCTATAATGTGGAACATGCACCGCTATAATCTGGAACACGCACCGCTATAACACAGAACACGCACCGCTATAATGTGGAACACGCACCGCTATAACACAGAACACGCACCGCTATAACACAGAACACGCACCGCTATAACACAGAACACGCACCGCTATAATCTGGAACACGCACCGCTATAACACAGAACACGCACTGCTATAACACAACACGCACCGCTATAACACAACACGCACTGCTATAACACAACATGCACCGCTATAACACAACACGCACCGGTATAACACAACACGCACCGCTATAATGTGGAACACGCACCGCTATGACCTGGAACACGCACCGCTATAACACGGAACACGCACCGCTATAACGTGGAACACGCACCGCTATAATCTGGAACACGCACCGCTATAACACAACACGCACCGCTATAACACAGAACATGCACCGCTATAACACGGAACACGCACCGCTATAACACGCACCGCTATAACATGGAACACGCACCGCTATAATCTGGAACACACACCGCTATAACACAACACGCACCGCTATAACACAGAACACGCACCGCTATAACGTGGAACATGCACCGCTACAATCTGGAACACGCACCGCTATAACGTGGAACACGCACCGCTATAACGTGGAACACGCACCGCTATAACGTGGAATACGCACCGCTATAATCTGGAACACGCACCACTATAATGTGGAACACGCACCACTAACACAACACGCACCGCTATAACGTGGAACACGCACCACTAACACAACACGCACCACTATAATGTGGAACACGCACCACTAACACAACACGCACCGCTATAACACAACACACACCGCTATAACACAACACGCACCGCTATAACACAACACACACCACTATAACACACAACACACACCGCTATAACACAACACACACCGCTATAACACAACACACACCGCTATAACACAACACACACCACTATAACACAACACGCACCGCTATAACACAACACACACCGCTATAACACAACACACACCGCTATAACACAACACACACCGCTATAACACAACACACACGGCTATAACACAACACACACCGCTATAACACAACACTCACCGCTATAACACAACACACACCACTATAACACAACACGCACCGCTATAACACAACACACACCGCTATAACACAACACACACCGCTATAACACAACACGCACCGCTATAACACAACACACACGGCTATAACACAACACACACCGCTATAACACAACACTCACCGCTATAACACAACACACACCACTATAACACAACACGCACCGCTATAACACAACACACACCGCTATAACACAACACACACCGCTATAACACAACACACACCGCTATAACACAACACACACGGCTATAACACAACACACACCGCTATAACACAACACTCACCGCTATAACACAACACACACCGCTATAACACAACACACACCGCTATAACACAACACACACCGCTATAACACAACACACACCGCTATAACACAACACACACCGCTATAACACAACACACACGGCTATAACACAACACACACCGCTATAACACAACACTCACCGCTATAACACAACACACACCACTATAACACAACACGCACCGCTATAACACAACACACACCGCTATAACACAACACACACCGCTATAACACAACACACACCGCTATAACACAACACACACGGCTATAACACAACACACACCGCTATAACACAACACACACCGCTATAACACAACACACACCGCTATAACACAACACACACGGCTATAACCAACCCACACCGCTATAACACAACACTCACCGCTATAACACAACACACACCACTATAACACAACACGCACCGCTATAACACAACACACACCGCTATAACACAACACACACCGCTATAACACAACACACACCGCTATAACACAACACACACGGCTATAACACAACACACACCGCTATAACACAACACACACCACTATAACACACAACACACACCGCTATAACACAACACTCACCACTATAACACACAACACACACCGCTATAACACAACACACACCGCTATAACACACAACACACACCGCTATAACACAACACTCACCACTATAACACACAACACACACCGCTATAACACAACACACACCGCTATAACACAACACACACCACTATAACACAACACACACCACTATAACACACAACACACACCGCTATAACACAACACTCACCACTATAACACAACACACACCGCTATAACACAACACTCACCACTATAACACAACACACACCACTATAACACAACACACACTGCTATAACACAACACTCACCGCTATAACACAACACTCACCGCTATAACACAACACTCACCGTGCATCGGTCGCATCTCGCTGCGGGACCGATGCACGGTGCGAGCTCTGGACGTTCATGCACCGAGCTTGAATGTCGGCGACCTAACAACGGCTTTCCCTGTGATCTTTCACCTCATGCTGACCGGACAGAGCCAAGGTACCGTGTCCCTTTTGACCTCGCCTACCGTTTATCAGCATCTTCAGTTCTTGCTATCGGCCAGGAGCGCTCTAGCAACGTCAGCGTCGCTGTGACGGGGGTGACGACGTCACAGCGACGCTGTGACGTCGCTCCTCCAGCTACACCGCCGCACAGCCACCATCGCGTCGGCCGAGCGGCCCCGCGCGTTGGTGGAACAGCATCGTCCAACTCGGTTCCGTGCAACGAAAACGTACAGGGATGGAGGCGGGGCACTAACTGATGGAACGCACTCGTTTTTAAAATACAAAAAAAACGATTGTAAGGTGCTAACCATCGTGATTGATTTTAAATGATTTTTTTTTGTTACTATCGAAGCTTCAAATTCCAGTGGAGCGTCGTGGGACGCGGCCCGCGCGAGCCGCTCGTCTTTGTGTCGGGTCTTCCCTTCCATGTTGCTTTGACGTGCGGTGAGGTCAATGGCTGGGGAGGCACTGGCGAGTGTCAGAGCCAGATTCACACACTGAGGAGGGTGTGGCCTCGCTGAGGGGGGCGTGGCCTCGCTGAGGGGGCATGTCCTCACTGAGGGGGGCGTAAATAAACCGCCACTTTTTCCGACAGTTGCATGCTAATCCCTCACACTAACATTATGCTAATCTCCCAGTTACATGCTAATTTCTGACTTTAACATCCTGCTCATCCAACACATTAACACAGCTACTTCAATGCTAAGTTATTCTGTCGATATGTAAACTCCTTCGTCAAGGCGCTCTGCTCCTCCCACCCAGCTTAAAAGACGCTGCCAAGCTTAGCAGTGTTCATTGAAGCGTTGTCTTCCCGACAGTTCTGTTTCTTCACCTGAGGAAGGCTACTTGTGTTGTGGCCGAAACGTCGTGAGAATTTTATTTTATGAAGTTTTATTTTTTATTATTTTATTTCCATTCTACGTGACTTTACCGAAAGAACCAAGAAGAGTAATCCCTGCAGTCACGAAAGCTTTAAATCGAAATTTGAGGAGGGCGTGTTAGACGCGTCCCCCTCAGTGAGGCAGATGTGATAGCTGCCTCCCCTGGTGCTTTTTCATTGCAGTTTCATGACGAGACCAGCGAGCCTCAATATCTTTATACACATACGTGAAATAAATTGCCTGGAGTATGGAAGGCGAGGACATGAAATGAAGGGGTCTACAAACATTACATTGGTGACATACTGAGATAGTAACAGGCACGTGCTTATTGCCCACGCTCCATCCAGTTACTGAGGGGTTGCGCAATCAGAGGGGAGGCTGAGCTCGTCGCTGCCTCACCTCTCGTCTCTTCCTGTATTTGCAGCGGAGTTCCGCAAATTTAGCGATTTTGACTTTGAAAATTATTGGAATCGTACAAAAATGACATTTATAACACAGATCAGTGGAAAAAATCTTCATATTTATTTTATTTGATTATACATTTTTTTTTTTACTTTTCGTAACAGCTATTTTCATTGGAGTATGACAGGCGAGGCTCTCTGCCTCGCCTGCCTCCCCTGACCGGACGTCCCTGATGCACACACGCTGACGACTGGAGTGTATCGACGGTGACGACTGTAGTGTACACGCAGTGATGGCCGTCATGACAGCGGTTGACGCGTGTGAACGCGCGCCAGTCAAGAAGACCGCGTGAACACGACGCGGCCCGAGAACGGCACGGGCGGCGTCCATAGCTTCACGGACAACTACTACTACTTCTACATCTACGTGGGGCTGGCCGACAGCTTCTTCGTGCTGGACCCCATCCGGGGGCTGCTGCTCATCCACTCGGCGATCCGCGTGTCGGACACTCTGAGCCGCGGAATGCTGCGCGCCATCCTGCACGCGCCCGCCTCCTTCTTCCTGGAGAAGCAGCCAGGCACGGGCTCCCCTCTACCCTCCTCGCCACCTCGCCCCCTCGCTCACTCACCCATGCGGGCACTCGTGCGCCCACCGACGCGCCCACTGATGCGCACACTGAATCGCGTGCGCGGCCACTCACCCCCCCCCCCCCCCCCTCAATCGTGCACGCAGTCACTCACTCACTCACGCACTCACTCGCTCACCCAGGCACGCACGCATACACCCTTTAACTCACGCATGCACTCACGTGCCCACTCATCCACGCACCCACTCACAAAGGTCCCCCCGAAAAGCCTTAACAGATTGCTTGGCAAGTGCTGTTAGCGAGCACCTATTAAAATCCGGCACGAGGAGGTGAGTGGCCAGCACAACGCCCGGCCACCTTTGCCCTCCCAGTTCTGATGTTAATGGAGGAACCGCGAACATGAATCCCACTTTAACGCAACCTTGTTTCGGTTTCTCTAGGCTACATTATCAACCGCTTTTCAAAAGACGTGGCCATCACCGATGATCAGCTCCCACTGGCAATATTCGATTACTTCCAGGTGAGTTCTGTTCTATGTGTGTGTGTCTAAGAGAGAGCACTTGTGCTTGTATGTGTCTATGTGTGTGTGTGTCGTGCCGGTCTTCATAGGCGCTTGCTAACAGCGCTTGCCCCAAAATTCTATTAGGGCTACACGGGGGATCTTTGTCTTTTATGCGTGAGTGAGGAGCAGTGTTGCAGAGTAGTTGACCCGCTGCGCTACGAATCCGGCGACCCGAGTTCGATTACCGCTCATGGCCAACACCCGTGACGATTATCTGAACCAGTCCTGCACCTCCCTTAGGTCGACTCAGCCTCAAATGAGTCCTTAGCTGGTGTGATGCGTGGTCACTGACGCTCCCACTCCGCAGCTGTTTCTCATCGTGCTGGGCGCGGTGACCGTGGTGAGCGCCATGATCCCGTGGACGATGCTCGTCACGCTGCCTCTCGGCATCAGCTGCATGGTCCTGCGCCACTACTTCCTGAGGACGTTCCGCCAGCTCAAGCAGATGGAGTCGGAAGGTGAGGCGAACGCACGCGTCGCGGTTACAGGTGGGAACAGGTAAAGGCGTGGCCAGACCCGCCCCTAGGGTACACGGAAAATCGGGGCGACCACCCCGGGCCCCGCGCTTTGGGGGGCCCCGTGCTTCGATGTCACCGTGTCAGATCTAATACTCCCGGTTTGAAGGTGTCGGGTGGCCCACACGGTGGGATTTGCCCTGGGGGCTCCCCCCCAATGGGCGGCCCTGGGTGCAGCCTGCCGTGGATTGCTAAGGCCTTGCTAGCTAGCGCATGGCCAGTACGTCAGCGTGAGAGGTTGAACAGTATCGAAATTAGGCACGAGTTTGAGGTAATGTTGCATTTTACCCATTGACAATAAACTTTACTCACCACGTACAGCGTAAGCATTAGGAGGGTAAATTACTCAGATACGGGGCCTAAAAGGAAAGGCGTGGAGCCAAAAATGGAAGAGATGGGGCCTACAGAGGAAGGGATGGGGTCTATGATGATAATGATGCAGCAGCCAGGCAACTCAGGGTAGAGCGAGGGGCTCGCAATCGGAAGGTTGCGAGTTGAAATCCCGGCTGTGGGGGTTGACTCATCATCCCTATGTGGGTTGATAAAGTGAATATCACTTTGCGGAGAAGTCAACAGTGGCCGTACTCTGGATCGACTCGGCCACGCCCTAGTCATGTGGAATTTCCACCGCTGGCTTCTGGCAGTAAGAAAGGAGATGAGCACCAACTCATTGCTCGTTGGAGCGGGAGATCGCTCAGACGCTCGATGTCGAGTACAAGGAATGCTGCTCCCCGTGTGTCCACCTCTGCTAAGCTGTGTGTTTTGTTCTGTGTGATTTTTTCCACAGCCAAAAACCCAATCTTTGCTCACATTGTCGCCACTCTGAAAGGGCTGTGGACGATCAGGGCTTTCAGCCGAGACGACTACTTTGAAAACATCTTCCACCAAGCCCTGGACATCCACACGGCCACCTGGTTCCTCTATCTCTCCGCCTTGCGCTGGTTCCAGATGCGAATCGACATCATTTTCACACTGTTCATCACGGCGGTGACGTTCATTTCCGTGGGGGTGAAGGGTCAGTCCTCGCCCCTCGCCCTGCTCCCTCGGGACACCCACATTTCACACACACACAACTCTCTTCTTCTTGTTGTTATTACGTGTAGCGTTTTACTCCAGGGATCGTTAAACGAAACTATTTTTTATTTTACCAGGCCACAAGTGACAGCTGAACGAAGTGGCTTAACACGTGGAAATGTAATGCATCCAAATCCTCTAAAGTAGTTTGTTAAATATCTTTGGGACTGAAGAGCAGTTATTATCATTGTTGGAAGTAAAATGACAGTTGTTCATAAAGGGGGGCAATTTGAATGCCTAAAGTTGTAGGTTTGCATGTGGTTTCATGCACCTGCTCGTAAGGCAGCAACGTACACAACAACACAACACTGGCCGGCCTTTGTCAATATAATAACGCTACCGCATGTTGTCACAGGTTACAGCGAAGGCTCCATTGCCATTGCGCTCACGCTGGCCATGAACATCATGAGCACCTTCCAGTGGGCCATCAACACCAGCATCGAGGTGGAGGGCATGGTGAGTGCTGGCCACAGCGCCGCTCGACCCCGCTTGTAATGAGTACCTGGTGCTGTCTGTAAGCGTCATCATTCGGGAGACAAAGGTGCTGGCCACTCGCCTCCTCGTGTCCCCTGCCAGCTTTCATAAGTGCTGGCTTACAGCACTTACCCCAGGAGTCTGTTAAGGCTATGCGGGGGATCTTTATCTTTGATGAACGTGTGCAGTGTGTCTAATGAGTGAATCGCGTGATGCACTCAGATGCGTTCCACGGAGCGGATTTTGCGCTTCATGGACATCCCGGAGGAGAGCAGTGGCTTCGTGGTTACGCCGCCGCCGCCGGACTGGCCCAGTGCCGGCCACCTGGAGGTGGTGAACCTCTCCATGCGGCACTCGCCGACAGCGCCGTACGTGCTCCAGAACATCTCCTTCAACGTCCAGCAGGGACAGAAGGTGCTCCACGCCGCATGCTTCATGATGGCCGTGCGAGGCGTACGGCCGCCACCGTTTCCACCGTAGACCAAACCCAGACGCATTTCTCAAGACGGCCTAGGCCTATGACCAAAACTGTGCGGTAAAGTGTGATGACAGAGTTCCACACAATGCCGGTACCAGGACTCGGCAAAAATCAACTCCTGTCGCCCAAAGACAAATGCCAATTCCGGGATTGGACTGCACAGTACAAACAGAACATTTGCAAGAATGATTGTGGAAAGGAAAGTTACATTTCTGGGACGTGTAATGATAAGATAGGAGACTGAACATGAACATGTGTTTTTTACTGGTACAGGGAGCCGGGGAAGACAGTGAATTAAGTTACACTCTAAGCAATTTGAATGACTGGATGCAACTGGGAGGAGTATCTGATACAGAGTTCGTGAGTAAATACCACGGACAGAGCCGAATGTAAGGAGGCCTCATTCGCCGACATGAAAAGAGGACTGTACCAGGTCCAACCGTCCAGTTGGTGACCCTGGCGAGGTGGTGCTCCGGCGCTCTGGAGGCAAGGGTTGACGGCTCACAGATCTGTGAAACTCGCAAACCCACCGGGCAACGAAGGCAGCCAGGAGAGCACGGTGCGGCAAGCGGGCTCGCGAACACCGGCGTGGCCGCGCGAGGCGTGACCGGCGTCGTTGCGTCTCCGCACAGATGGCGATCCTGGGCCGCACGGGCGCGGGGAAGAGCACGCTGCTCGCGTGCCTGCTGCTGCAGAGGGACGTGGAGGGAGAGGTGCGCATCGACGGCTTGTCGGCACGTAACGTCGCACCCTACACGTGGAGGTCGGCGTTCCAGGTCATCACGCAGGTGAGGAGGATCGGGAAGCGCGTTGAGTGCGATAGCCATGATGCCACGGCAGCAGTTGGGAGTCGTGGGCAGTCAAATCCATTTTGAGAAAGCGCGACCATGTGCACCAACATCGGCCGGTGACATTCCTCCCGGGTTGAGGGTTTGCACGGCCAAGTCTGGAGATGCCTTGGGTAGGTGACGTGGCCGAACGACGTCGCTCGTCCCGTAAAGTGGAGCCTGGCGCGGCTCGGTGTGGGCGGATCGTGACCGTCCCTCTTCACGCTTTTTGCAAAACTCAAACGTTGCTCGTTTCTCTTTTGCAGAAAATATTTATCTTTACCGGAACGTTAAGGAAAAATCTGGATCCATACGGAAGATGCAACGATGAAGAAATATGGAAAGCCATTGACCTGGTGAGTCCATTTTGCACGTGGGCGGTACAAGAGTGACGACCTACAGTTACTTACTTTAAATTTACAAGTTCCTCCCCAGCTAGTCGTACACATTTGTCTCGTCGGTGTTGCAACGTCTTATTGCCAGAAGCGTTTAATCTCCTGGGCCAGATACACGAGCCACTTCAGGACACCTGCTCTCTGAACCCGGTGTGAGATCCGCACGTCACAAACCCATGCAGCTCACCTCCCGTAAATGTCAGTCGCTTTGACCGCTGCCGTGACCATCAACTTGAATGACGCAACTTGGCTGCCCACGCCACCATGGCATGCCATTACCACCATGTTGGAAATACCCAGAATGCCTTGTGCAGCTGTGATGTCGCTTTCCACAGGAGTTTCCCAACGTTACACACAACCGCTACACAATTACAGCGCCGGAATGAAATGTCATGCAACCACAACCACAATGCCTCCTCTGCCTTTCGCTTTAAAGAACTCCCCGTGGCTGGGCCGGCAGTCATTCCTCGCGCTCCTTGCCCAGAGTGCATCGCACCGGCTCGGATTAACCACCGGGTCCGGTTAGAAACCCCAGCTGCACGGCTTCGCCACCGTGCCGCCGTGAGCGACCGGCGCTTTCACGCCACCGCATAGTCAACCGCGCCGCGCCCGTGCGGCCCAGCGGGTAGCGGAGCCGCACAGGCGCGCCGACCCTCGCCCACGGAGCGCTGACGGCACGCGCTGCCCCTTGCGACGGTGCGCCGCAGGCGGGCTTGCGCGACGTTGTGGAGGCGCTGCCCGGAGGGCTCGACGTCATGCTGGTGGAGGGCGGGTGGGTGCTGAGCGAAGGGCAGAAGCAGCTCCTCTCGCTAGTACGCTGCCTCCTCTACAAGGCCCGGATCCTGCTGCTGGACGAGCCCACGGCAAACCTCGACCAGATGTGCGTGAGCCCCCCCTCCCACCACCGCGGTGCAGTACGTGAGACGCCGCGTGTGTCGAAACCGCTCCGGAGCTTTGCTGCTGAAATGATGCACTCCCGCAAGGCTGTCGTGTTTTACGCGCACGCAGAGATGTGGGAAAGAGTCGAATTGTGTGCTTCCTAATATTGCTGTTCACATCGTTACTCCGCACCGACGCTCGCTCTAGCGGAGATACTCCTTTGTCCTTCACAATTAAAGCCATCTCTGGGAATGTTTGTGGATGCTGATGGTGGTGGTTTTATGTTTGGTAAAAACGATGTGAAAATCAGAAGAAAATACAACAGCAAAGCGATCTTGTATAAATCGGAGAGAGAGAGAATTTGGTGGCGTAATGCCCCTCTGCGGTGAGACGTTACAGTGAGTGCGTATCAGGGCCTTTACTGCCAAGATTTCACGGTTTCTAAATACAGTATTGCAATGTTACAAGAAAGTCTCTCAAGTCGTTTTCATAGCCACTACATTATCACGTGGTGTTTTAAAATGAAATCCAGAATGAACATTGCAAGTAGGTTGTGTAATAACAAGAACGGTTCCAATACGATCACGATATGACTTTTTTCCCTGGGAATGTTTAAAATTAAAGGTGTCACACTTTGCGAGTTGCCCGTCTGGCGAGTAATGAAGAGCTGACCCCCGTTTGTGTGCGTGTTCGCTCGCTTCGTCTTATGTCTGCAGAACGGCACAGACCATGATGAGGATCATTCGCAAGGAATTTAAGGACTGCACCATCTTGGTCTCGGAGCACAGGATCCGCGCCATTTACGACTGCAATCAGATCCTTGTGAGTAGTTGATCATCGTGATCGCCGTCGTCATCACCATTGGTCCAAGCAGGCCTGACGCTGCAGACGATGGACGTCGAACACGGTCCAGAGTTTGCTTGCGTCGACCCAATGCTGCTGAAATTATGCGCTCCCAGAAAGGCTGTGCGGCTGATGGGATGTGTAGAACACAATTTAATGTTTTATTTGGAGGGACAGATATTAATCCAGCGACAATACCTGACCACGGCTAATATCAGTGGTGAGCGATATCTGAACCGGTGCTGGGCATCCCCCTACTACTCATCCAGAATGAAGCAGCGTGGGAAAGGATGGTCAGAACAACTCCCATGACCAAAATGGCATGGAGAGGCCTTCATCCAGCGTTGGATTGATAAAGGGCTGCACTGTATGTTGTTATTATTTTCTTGCAATATTAATCGTAGATTATAGATCTCATTTTCTGTGATGTTTCTCTTATTTGCGAATCCGGTTACACAAAGGAATCAACGCGGACAACGCTGAGCTTAGTTTTCGTGCCCAAGTCAACGGCAACGGCCGGGGCAATGTCTACTTTTCCTGGTGCCCTCACCAGACTCGTTTTCCTTTGCCAGGCCTGTGCCTGGCTACAGAAAAACACAAAAGGTGGCAATCAGAATTATAATATTTATACTGGAGGAATCCGATGAGCTATAAAGCTCTTTTTTCACAGAAGTCCAGTAGTTGTCCAACTGCCCTCGGGTGCGACCACCGGTGTGTACTTGAACCCGAGGCCGCCTCTGTTTGACACCCGCAGGTCCTGGAGGACGGAAAAGTGAGGGAGTACGGGACGGCACAGGTGGTGTTCAAGAAGAGCGCCCTGTTCCGCGAGTTCGTGCCGGACACGGGCTCGTTCCGGGGGCACCCCGTGAGGAGCAGCATGACCCTCAGACACTCCATCAAGCACATCTCCCTCCAGGAGGAGCTGGCCGAAGACGACATCATACAAGAGACGAGGCTCTAGCTCACGACACCGGCGGAGATGAAAGTATTTCCGCAGTTTTGTTGGCGAGCCTCACTTGGAGGCTTTTTTTTTGTAAATGTGCGTCTGTGTGTGTGAGTGTGTGCGCATAGTTGGTGCGTGTGGATATCCAGCAGGTGGAGTGGTGGCACAGTGGTTAGTGCACCGCACTACGAACCCGGCGACCTCTAAGTTTTATTCCTGACCATAGCCAACAAAAATGGCGAATGCTTGAACCGTCCTGGGCCTTCACCAAGTGGACTTGGCTTTAATTATCACGTGGTGGAATGTGTTTGCATCAGCATTGGACAGATGAAGAGTGCCGGGTCTTGGCCCTTAATAGGTGCTTGCTAAGAGCACCTGCCCTAACAATCTATTTGAGGCTATATGGAGATGTTTGTCTGGCACAGTGTGCAGCCCAGATGTGTGAGCGGTTAACACCATATAAGGTTGGAGATCGTTTGTAATGCGGAGAATGTTTCTGGTTCAGAATTGCTACAACGTCTAAAGAAATGTTTTCATGAGATTTTCATCATCGCATCCATTTTGTTTGCAAACGAAAGTAGTGAAGGTGGTAATTGCGACTGCAGACACCTGCCATTCACAACTGCATGGGACTTGTCTCCCATTCTGGAAAAGTGAAAGTCCCTGGGTTTGACGCGCGTGCAAGGGCTGTCCACAGCGCAGTCTGGCGCACGGGTGGAGAACCGTTGCCTATGCCGGGGTCCAAACAAACCGATCCCTCCGGATCCCTGAGGCGGGCTGGCACACATCGGCACGTTTTCCCTCCAGCGTTCGATTAGCGCAGCCGACCTGCTCGAAGTGACGGATCAACATTGCTCGTGGTCCGTTGGCCAACTCGTTGGCTTCACGTGGCAGCGGGCCGGATGAAATGAAGTCACGGGCCAGGCGTGGCCCAGGGCCGCAGGCTCCCCACCCCTGGGGCCTAGGTGTGCCGCGGCAGCGCACGCGATGCGCGCACGAGGAGGACGCGTGGAGGATCTCGCTCGGCACCAGCGCACGAAGTTTGTGCTTCGTCGGTGTCTCGTGAGGTACGGCAACAGCTCGATTGTCCCAAATTGCAGAGACAGCAGAAAACAGCAGCAGGAGCTCACAGGCACAGCGTGAACAGCCGATCGTCATGTGAGGCTATCAACCGTCCCGTTTTGGCCAGGACAATCTTGGCTTCGGCTGTTCCAGTGTCCTTAAGTGTTTCCAAAGAAAATTGGGATTTTGTTCCCGGTTCAAAATTTTCTGGCTTCATGCATGAATCTTGATTTGGGCAAAGGGCGGGGCTACCTGAATATTGGGCGGGGTTAATAGAGTCGGCTGGGCCCTCTGAGCAACATCGAATAGCGAATCCATGCGCTGTGCGTGTGAAGCTCGCGGATAAGTGGGCGTGGCTACCTTAAAGTGGGAGGGGCTGACCGAGGCAAGGGCTAACAGTTCACTACTTGACCTGGTTGGGCCTCACAGTAAGGTTAGTAGTCACGTGGAGCGTGGTTGAGGCTGTATGAGGCTGGAGTGTGGTTGTAGCTGTGATGGAAGGGTTGTTGTTGTCGTATGTTTTTCGTTGTGTCTCTGCTCCTGTAATTCAGTGTCTACTGCCAGCAAGTTCTGTAAGTGGCGGCCTCCCGTGACACTTAGTTTTTTCTAATTGTTGTGTTTGACTCGTCCAGATTATGTAGATTTCTGGATCAGCGGTGACCATGTTAGTGTGAGTTTACTGTATTTTTGTTGTTGCTGTACTGCCTATAAGAGGGAAGCTAGAGTTGAACTCAAAGGGCGCTAATCACGAGTTGCTTCCCAGCTGAGCACTGCTCAGAGCACTGTGTTCACTTTTGCAGAGCGTTGGGTCTTCACGCATGTACAGATGCTATCAGTTAAAGTAAGGGTGCAATCTGTCCGGGTATGAGCCGCACAATCCGGGAATTGGCATCTGCGTTTGTGTGGCAGGATTTGATTTGTGCCGATATCTGCTACCGGTCTTCTGTTCAACTTTACTGCAGGATACTGCACCGTGTTTCATAGACCTCGGCTGACTGCGAAATACGTCTGGGTTTGGTCGACTGTGAAAAACAGTGGCAGCCCTCATTTAAAGGAGGTGAAAAGAATGTTACCAGCAACTGATATTGTACTCGATTTACACCCCCAGAAGAAGTTTTAAAGCAACCTTTTGCTATGCAGTGGAGAACGAGGGCTAGGGCTTGTCGACAGGGGCGGAGCCAGGATTTTGACTTTGGGGGGGGGCTGACTTCAATATTGTGAGATATCCAGTGTAATGTTTTCCAATGGGCGCCACAAATGTATAAAACAAAATTTTATTGCATTTGAACGCGAAGTTTATTAATAGGTCGGAGCCGCTGATGTGGCTAATAAGTTCGATAAGTTTGAAAGGCTGCCGCTCAAGCAGCCTGCAGGGCAGCACAAGGTGGCAGCACAAGGTGGCAGCCTGCAGGGCAGCACAAGGTGGCAGCCTGCAGGGCAGCACGAGGTGGCAGCACGAGGTGGCAGCCTGCAGGGCAGCACAAGGTGGCAGCCAGCAGCATTTTGCAGCAGCCGGATATCCGGTTATCCCGATTACCGACTTTCCCAAAATTTCTGGGGGGGCTAAGCCCCCCCCCCAGCCCCTCCTGTGGCTCAGCCCCTGCTTGTCGACAAGAGGGTCTCGCCACGAGCACGGTCTGTCAGTGTCGTGGATGACCAAGCGAAATGAACATATTCGGTGTTTCGTGTTCCCGACCCGGTGACCCCGTCGTGCGGTGCGCCCCCTCGCGCAAAGCCGCCACTTTAAACTGCGCCGGGGCAGATGTGGCGGCTGAGCACGTGGGCGGCTGAGTTCCCACGCGGCACGGACACGTGGCTCGCGCTGTCTTATGTGCCCGACTTAGGCGTTGAACTAAAGTTCTGTAATGAAGAACAAAGTGTTTGTTATGTCTGAACAGAAAGGGCTGTAGCCTGCGCGGACTGCCAGCAGTGACATGGAACTAGAATGGTGCCACTTGACGGGGGAAATGTTACAAAAGCGTATTTTAGGTTTTATGTCGCGCAAAGTGGCATAACGACGTTGGAAGAGCTCGATGAGACAAAAGGCAAATGAGAGCAATGAGACATTTCAGTCACTGTTAGGAAAAGACAGCGCGTATGACTAGAAGGGATTCTCTGACCACTCCGCACACACCGCACGCACTCGTTACTGTGAAGAGGTGAGTAACCTCGCTAACTGGCCGTCAGTCACCTCCCCATCGCTCTTCTATCGCTACTCCCATGACTAATGGTCCCATGAATTTCACTGATCATGGATTCTTCCATCCGTGCCGAGGACTCGGCGTGGCACGCCGAGCGTGGATCTCACCCACACCGTGGTTAGCGGCCGCGCTGCAAGGGCAATGTTGTGTCCGCGCAGGTGTTTGTTGAGTCGTCTGTGTCGGTGTGACAATTTCGCACGATTGTTGGATATAATTGTCATGCTTGAGTTTGTTGAAGATTTACTTGTGGAATCTTACCCCCCGATTGTATTAAGCACCTCGGCATCCTGTCCTGTACGTATGTATGTTGAACTTCTTTCATACCATACGTAGCCAATCGTGCAGAATCAGGCCAGCTCTCCTCGATTGAATGACACCAGCTTCTCAAGCGTAGTGAGTTGATGGGCTCAGCCCAGTTACCAAAGGCTGTGCTAAACCACCATCACACTCCATTTTTATTTAACTTAATTTGGAACATTATAGCTGAGTCGCGAGAATTTTATTGTTTTATATTTTTATTATTTAATTGTTTCCCTCCGACGTGACTTTACCGAAAGAACCAAGAATATGAATCCCTGCAGTCACGAAAGTTTTAAATCAAAATTATAGCCGAGATATAAAAAAGCATATTTTGAATGCAATGTGAAGAACATCCCTTGCGTACAACGCCTGTAAACCTGCATTGTCCTTCACGTGGAAAAGAGGCAATTTGATGTCGTCAGTGGCAGTGATATCACCTTCCACTGGGTGGTGCACTGATGTCTGCGAGAGTTTCGAAGGAAACACGCATCCTGCGACGCGACAATGGAATATGATTGAGAAAAATACGATTGTGTTCTCGCAGTTGTCGAGATGTATGTTGCCAGTGGTATAAATGAATGCAGATTTGATAAACTGACTTCATTTCTAATTTTCAGCTGCACTGGACAGCTGAAGTTCTAAAAATGCCAACACTAGTTTTACGTTAGGATGTAGGAACAGAAACGTGTTACGTTCACATTCGCGCATTGCTTCTTTATACGAGTGGAGTAACGACCTGCGTCGCTGAAGGTAATCATTGTCCCTCCTTAATATCCACTGGCGTATGGAACACTGTGGTGTTATGCAGTTTCGAAAGTAGCTCGCTGATTGGAGCTGCTGTCTGCACGTAACCATTCGCCACGTGCAGCTCTTTGATCCTTCCATCTCACTCGCAAGTCTTAAACGCGCGGAATGAGAGAAGCAGACGTAAAGTGTGCGTATGCAAATGTGTCCTGATCGTGCCTTGTATACGTTACTTGTAAGGCTCCATACATTTGAGGTGATCCGATTCTGTTTTTTTTAAAACGACGTTTTATCAAACGGCAGTGAATGCAGCGTTGTGCGTGTGGCTACAACGCCGTGAACGCCACTCGGTTCGCTGTGCGGGGTCTCCATGGAGTTGTCTCTCCGCTGTCGGGGTGGCCTTACCTGTCAACCCCTTAGCAGCGCCGACCCTATTACAGACCAATTCAGACCTTATTGGTCACCCCGTGCTCTCATACATCTCAACGTTCATCCTACAAAGTCCCATCACAAGGGAGAAACGGCTGTACGCAGTATGCACCTGGAAACTCAATTTCCTTGTACAAGGATACGGGGTACACCTTATGGGTTGATAGGTATGGGATTGGCTTGCTTGAATTCCAACCCTGTGTACAAGACGAGACATTTCTGTGTTGAATCCTGATGCAAGCTCTGGATGAAGGTTAATTTACAGTTTGATATGTGTTGAATAACTTGATCTTTATAAAGCTGTTTTGTATTTTTTTGTATATAAAATAAAACTGGACAGTTTAACCGACGTTGCCTCCTCCTTCGCTGTGCGGTGGCTACTTGGTGGTGATCCCAAGGCCTGATGGGCCCAGATCTGTGCACGGAACGCCTAACAGAGGAGGGGCACTGTGAACCCCACGTCACCAACTTTCTGGACATTCCCCGACAATGCCAACCGATGTAGTTTTGGGCCAAAATTGCACAAATGTTGATCGCCTTATTTGTCAATCCCAAGTGCATTCCTCCGTTGTGTTTATGCCTAGTATCATATCGTGACCTGTGCCGGATTATCCTAGAAGCAAAAGTAGCCGCACTTTCAACGGCGCGCCGCGCTAAATGCTATCAAGCTATCAATTCCGGTTCAGTGATTCTGCACTTGCTCTATTACTATTGTACTCTACTGCCTTCAACTTTTATGCACGACTGGGTGTTTAAGGTTATCGATTTGTCGTATTATCTGGCTATATAGAAAGTGAAAAAATACAATACTTTACTATGCAAGTTACAAATTTGTGTTTTAATATTTACGTGTTTTTTTATATTTAGGGCCCCTTTATAACATATGCTACAGGCCCCGCACTAGCTTCATCCGGCACTGATCGTGACTCGTGGTCCGGCTCACCCTTGCCTGGAACTACCTGCTGGCCTCCACCGAGATCCACCTCGGCTCCGCCACTCGGCTCCACCACACGACAGCGCTTCACCTCCCTACTACCACGATCACTGTTACGTTGCAATTATGGTTTTATTTTTTGGTGATTTCGAAAAGTTTTTTGGTTTGGACATGTTTGTTTTGTTGTAATACGGAGTTAGACTGATGGCCTTAATCTAAGTTTTATTGTGGTTGTTGTTTGACTTGCATCCCACTGGGATTTTTCGCACACAGCATTGGTGTACGGTGTTTTTTTTCAGAAAATATTTTGCTGGTTTTTTTCATGGATTTTCTGTTTGCACAGTCACATAGTCACTTTCATATGTTTTTCTTGTTCGTTTTTTTGTTTAGTGTGGTTGCACCCGATTCAAGAGCCGAATGGCTCACAGGGCTATACCAAAATAAATCAACTTAAAACTGAAACTGAAACTCGCGCTGCCTAGCCAAGCACAATGGACACCCTTTCTCGCTTAGCGCAGTGCCGTTGCTCAGTTTACCATTAAAATGTTACAGGTTTTTAGCGTTGTGCATAAAGAGGTCGTCGAGTGTTGTAGCCTCGCGTTGACTTGGCGATACAGTACTTTAGTGTTAGTGCAGTGCCGGTGAGTGGAGGTGCCTGACAGATCTCCGTGCAGTGCCAGGAAGAGAAGGCGCCTGGGAACGCACCCCGAGCGCGCAGCCAACCACTCGGTCTCTTCTCGTTCCCGAGACACTCGGGCCGTGTGAGCGCGTGACCCCTGCGCCTTGGCCCGTCTTGGGCCAAGACCCGCGGCTCTGCGACTCCCTGCCCATTGCTGGCCTATAACGAGCCCTGGGAGCTGGCGACCTTTGTGACCTTACCTGCGCCTGGGTCCGTGACTGTGCAGTGAAGTCGGAACGTTGAACAATTTGGCATTAAGGACTGGGTTGATCTCGTTATTACTTCACCAAGTACACTTTCCATTGCCGTGGACGTAGATCGCGTCGCCCTGTAACCCGAGATAACCTTGCATATTCTTTTGTATTGTTCTTTGCGAACGCTACACGAAGTCTATTTGCCTGGATCATTGCCCTGACATGTTTAACTTGGCGCCCCGGCTTTCCAAAAAGTGAGACTTTGTACAACTTGCACTGTGGTTTATTTCCATTCGAGCAGCACAATTCAGGAGGTGAGGTTGAAAATGTGGAGAGAGCCCAGGCTGTGATTGAGACTCCGCCCCGAGTCGATGGCTGTCCGTTTGGTTTCCTTACCACCGTGGACCCCTTTTGGGGCCGTCCATAAATGACGTCACGCGATTTTGGACGATTTTTTTAAACCCCCCTCTCCTCGTCACACGGTGTCACAAAAAGTCAGACCCCCCATCAAATATGACGTCACAAAGCTCTGCCCCCCCCCCCCCCCCCAACAAATAAAACATGCTTCAAATCGCTTTAAACGATTGTCATTGTAGTGCGTATCTAATGTGGCGCTGCACTCTGACGTTGTAGGAGAAAACATTTATTAAAAAGTATATTTAATTAAGTAGAACGTGTTGTCTATATTTATGTAAAGTTGCGCATTTTGGTGTGACATCACAAATGTCTGACCCCCCCCCTCCCTAGGTGCGTGACATCATTTATGGACGGACCCTTTACAGAGAGGGGGTTTGGGAGTTTGTCCAAGTTCACCTTTCAGAAGGGATAGCCCCCCATCCCGAGCCGACCCCCACGATACAACATAAATAAGCAGGCAATATTTACGCCTCCTTCACACACATCCATCCGACCGCCCACATCCCGTGTTCTCACGCGGAAACCACCCGCCCCTCTTACCAAACCCCGTCTCTTCGCACGTGCATAGCAATGTCTTCCAGCAGCATCAGTGTGAGCGAGCAAAAGTGGCTTCCACTTGCCGCGTCTCGTCAGCAGTTGCGTGGACTCGTGTAAGTGCTGCGGGGTTGCTCGTTGCTACAATCGCGGGCGAGAGGTCTCCCTCTCTCGAGCGCACAAACATCACTCGTGTCAGGGGCAGGGCTGGAATCAACAAACCTGCAAACGCTGCCCAGTCGAGCCCCTTCCCACGTTGCGCCCCACCGCTGGTTCCCATCGGCTGGGTCGGGGTCGTCGCTCGGGGTCAGGGAGGAGGAATGCGCCCCGGGTAGAGGGGGCTGCTGCTTCTGGGCGCAACGTCAACAACACAATCGCTGGGTGCACATCAGCTGCAGGCTCGACGCCATTTCTCCATCCTTTGTTCGTTGTCAAGGTTCTGCGATTGACGTGCTCTCGCCATCATCTGAACGCGGCCCCAAACTCTTCGTTCACATGGCCAGCGCTCCGGAGTTGGAACCGGGCCGAGAGCCGGGGCAGAGCTAGGCGAGACGGCACGACCCTGGCTGGGCCGCCTCTCCCCAGCGCAACGTGGCCCGCTTGGCGGGGCTCTGCACGCTGCTGCTGCTGATGCTGCTGTCCGGCTACAAGCTGGCCCTGGGCGCGGGGCTGTCGCTGGCGGTCGCCCTCGTCGTGCGGGCCATGATAATGGCCAAGTGGGGCCCCGCCACGCCGGGTCCAGCGCCGCCCGGGCCGCGGGGCGTGCCCCTGCTCGGGACCGCCTTGAGCCTGGACTTCAACTCAATGATCGGCTCTTTCGCTGGCGTGAGAGACGCAGTGCCATTGGCACGGATGGTGTCGAGTGTTGTTGTTTGTGCTTGTGTACCACTGACATTTAATTTATTTAAATGTTCTTCACCAACGTGACTTTACCGAAATAAGCAAAGAGTATGGATCCTTGCAGTCAGGAAAACTTTAAAATCTAGAATGACAAATATACCTGTTTATTTATTGTTACTCGTCAAGGAATTTCCCACCTGGATAATCCCGAGTGGAGTAACATCTCGGGGTTTTGTTACATTTATTGAGCAAAGGCTCAAAACGCCAAGCGGACAGTATTCGCAATGGGTGTCGCCCTTGCAAACGAAACGTTCCATCCCAAGGGATTTTTTTTCCAGTTGAAATATTTTAATTGAAATCAATTGGACCGAACGTGGGAGAGGATGGAGTAGGACACAACTTGGAAGTTCCTTTCAAAGCGTGGGTTAAAGACAACAAAAGTTGATGTTCATCGGAAAGCGGAAGTTGCCCTGGGTGAGGCACGTGTTCAGGATCGGACTTAAGATGGGGCACGCAAACTGGAGGTTTGGCACGGAGCGTGACGACACGAGAGAGTTTATAGATATCCCGTGGGGGGGGGGGGGGGGGCAGTAATTCAGATTGTCACGCGCGTGTAGCCTGTGGCGGTATTATCCCCGGTGGCGATACACTCGTGTCCAGCGTCCATTCCCCCCGAATGTTGTTTTGCAGCTCGCGAAAAAGTACGGGAACGTGTTCCAAGTGCAGTCCGTGGGGCAGTCCGTGGTGGTGCTGCACGGGTACGAAACCATCAGGGAGGCCCTCGTCGGCCACGCCGAGCTCTTTGAGGACCGCCCGGTCATGCCCATGTTCGAGCACATGTTGGAAGGGCACGGTATGGCAGCAGCAGTCAGGTATAGATCGTCGTAAATAGTCAGCGGGGCCGTCCATAAATGACGTCACGCACCTAGGGGGGGGGCGGGGTCAGACATTGTGACGATGTGTGACGAGGGGGGGGGGGGTTGAGAAATGTGACGTCACGTAAAAATGCGCAACTTTAAATAAATATAGAATTGTTATACTGTAACACTAATTGTTATAACACTCCGACAACATCAGAGTGCAGCGCCACATTAAATACGCACTACAATGACAATAGTTTAAAGCGATTTGAAGCATGTTTTATTTTCAAAAGGGAAATATGGTTTGGGGGGGGGGGGCAGAGCTTTGTGACGTCATATTTGAGGGGCGGTCTGACTTTTTGTGACACTGTGACGAGGGGGGGGGGGTCAAAATCGTCCAAAATCGCGTGACGTCATTTATGGGCGGCCCCCTATCAGGTGCGTGCAGCGCGTCGTGGATTAATTTGTGTATGGATATAAAAGATTGGTAATCACGATGAGGAGGAGTATGGGTCGTAGTCACGAGGACTGCTGCAAAGAGCACAACCATAACAGACGACGGTTACATTGCAGCGATGCTTTACTCAATGTCTGTTGCCTTGAACTTTGGCCACGCTGTGGAATGCAGCAATCGGAGCTCACTGGGTTGTGCAGGGTATTGCTATAGAACAGAGATACACACACAAAGACAAAGGCCCCCCGTATAACCAGACCCAGGTGCCATGGGTTGACCGACATGACTGGCAGTTACATTGCCTGCGCTTTCCACTGTGCCAGCTCGCTGCGGTTTATTCGCCGGCGCTCCGCTCGTTGTTGTGAGCGTCGCTGCTCTGGCCTCCACTGTTGTTGGATTAACACGGTGAACACAACATGCGGGGCGAAAGAAGTTCAACCACATGCATACGGACTGCCCCGCGCGCACAAAACACGGGCAAACAAACAGCGCAAATACCAATCGTGCTAAATTATAAATTGCCATCATGGTGCCGTGTGACGGGCGGCCCAGGGCACACATCCCGAGCGGCCCTCCTCCGCGCGGGCCCCCCCATCGCCGAGCTTGCCGAGCGCGTCTCTCCACCTGCACGCCCCCCACCCCCTAGGGATTCTGTTTTCACGCGGGGAACGGTGGCGCCAGATGCGGCGATTCGCGCTCCGCACGCTGCACGACTTCGGCATGGGACGCTCCATCATCGAGGAGAAGATCCTGGAGGAGGCCACCTTCCTCTCCACCGAGTTCGAGGCGATGCGAGGTGCAGAGTCGCCCTCCCTCACCACTTGAAGCGATGGCCACGTGCTGTCCCTGGCTCGCTGTGTCATGGCTTTGGCTTGTTGTAACATGGCTTGCTGTGCCATGGCTATGGGCACAGAAAGCCATGTACAACAAGCCCATGGCTATGGCTATGGGCTTATTGTACCGTGACTCACTGTGTCATGACTATGGCTTGCTGTGCCATGGCTATGGGCTTGTTGTACCACCAGCTTGCTCTTCCACGACTGTCTGTGCTGTGTTTCAGGAGCGCCCTGGGACCCAAAAACAATGATCAGCTGCGCGGTGTCGAACGTGATCTGCTCGCTGTCCTTTGGGAAGCGCTTCACCTATGAGGACAAAGAGTTCATCAAGCTGGTTGCTCTGCTGAGTGAAAACGTGAGGTTGTTAGCAAGTCCTGTCAGTCAGGTAAGTGTCTGTGGTTTTGAAATTCAACAACACACCGACAATATTCATTTGCAGCCGGTTGCCAGTCAACTGCTGGATGAGGGTCTCCCCACGCTATGTCAGAAATGGGGCCGTTTGACCGTACATCACATCACTGGTGAAGGAGAATCCAAAATCTGTTCAGGTGTCGCTCGCCATTGATGTTAGCCACGGGTGGGAATTTAACTCGGGTCGCCGGATTCATAACTCCGTACCGCCGCTGCTCTAAACTATCATTATGGGTTTTAGATCCCATAAGGATTCTGACCGGACCACGTAGATCCAAACGGCATCATTTCGAGCACCGGTATTGTTTGTATTTATTTCCCCCTGTAGTCCATCGCTGCGTCCCGGGCACCCTCCCGCTCGCGTGCAGCCTTTTAGTACAGCCGGTCGTTGTGGCGTGACGTGCCTCGCCGTCTCTCCTCAGATAAACAACGTATTCACGTTTCTGCGCCACCTTCCTGGACCGCACACCAGGCTGTTTGAGAATGTGCGCCGACTCAAGGCCTTCCTGTCGTCCTTCATCGAGGTCCATCGCAATGCCCCCGAGCAGGATGAGCCGCAGGACTTCATCGCCGCGTTCCTCGCCAGGCAGCGCAAGGCAAGGCCTCGGGACCTCCGCGGGCCATTGGCGACTGCGAGGCCTTCACCGATCCATCGATTAAAATCGATTCTCATGTTCTCGTGCCGGTTCATGATTGAGTTCCGGGTCGGATCGCCCGCCTCGTGAAACAATTGAGTTCAGATGTCGTGCGGTTGGTGACATTGGCGAGGTTTGTGTTTGCAGGAGGCTGGCAACCCAGACACGTACTTCACAGACAAGACCCTGCTCGTGGTGACGCTGAACCTGTTTTTCGCCGGCACGGAGACCACGTCGACCACACTTTACTGGGCTCTGCTTCTGCTGATGAAGAACCCCGACGTCCAAAGTAAACACCGCGGCAGAGCGAACGACATGAAGCAACCACACACTCCATGCTCGCCGCACCTCAACTCCGCGGGGTGGCTCGCCCCGGGCCCGGCACGGGGCCTGTTACCCGACCCGTGGACATCGAGGTGGCCATCTCCTGGATTGCCAGAGTAGCAGTAAAGCAAGTGGATTTTCTCCCCTTTGTATAAACACTGATTGAAGGAATTGGCCAAACATCCCAACGTAGGACCACAGAGCTTGGACAAGTATCGGAGCCGGATCAGGTCGCCTTCCCGCTCGTCTGTGGCTTTCCGCGCCTCCGTTGAAAAAACTGTGCGCTTTTAAATTACTAAGTGAAACTAAATCAGCATCACAGTTACCCCGGCTGCTGCTGTTGCTACTCACTCAGTTATCCGTGCTCTCCACTACACAGGGCGATGTAAAACATTAGCAGCTCCCCTTCAGTAGAATTGAAGCGACTGGATATGGCGCAGCACTGTACACGGGCAGCCAAATCGCGTGGCTCCGCCAATCATTAAGCCGCACGGGCAGTGCCCCTGTCCGACCCGGTGTGTGCGGGTGGTGGTGCACCGCAGGGCGGCTGCAGGAGGAGGTGCTCGCCGTGATCGCCCTCGCTGTCCGACCGAGAGAAGTTGCCGTTTACCAATGCCGTTCTATACGAGGTGCAGCGCTTCGCCAGCATTGTGCCGCTGGCCCTCCCGCACGCCACGACGCGCGACGCGCTCTTCCAGGGCTACTTCCTCCCCGAGGTAGGGAGCCCCGTGCCGCCCCCCCACCCCCGCACCGCCACCGTGCAAGTCGGTGCCCGCTCTGTTGAGGGATCCACGGCGCCAGCGATCGTAACAATAATTACGTCACCTTGCACCGCCGCTCGGTGTTCGCTCTCGTAGAGGGCTGAGGAGGAACCACAGGAGAGTGGGAAGGCTGCGGCAGCTATGTCCTAAGCCTGTGGAAAATTTCTCCAAGCTCTGCAGTCCTCTATATTTTAAGGTGTTATCACAATTAATGAGTGTTTACATGTGGGAAGAAACCAGAATTTCCGGGAAAAAACCCTACATTTTCGGAGGGGGCAACACTGTTCCGTACAGATGAAACAGTTGTGCTGTCTCCCTACCGTCTCCCTGCCGGGTCCATGCCGTCTCCGTGCCGTCTCCTTGCCGTCTGCGTACTGTCGTCTCCATGCCACAGGGCACCATTGTGTTTGCCGTGCTGGACTCGGTGCTCAAGGATCCCTCACAGTGGGAGACCCCGGAGGAGTTTAACCCCTCGCACTTCCTCGACCGAGACGGGAAGTTCCGCAAGCGAGACGCATTCCTGCCATTCTCAGCAGGTACGTTGTGACGAGTGATTGGATAACGATTACGACAATGATCGCCACTTTACAGCCCCTTTGTCAATCCACTGCTGGATGCTGAACACGGGGGTTGTTTGACCATACTTCACCACACTGGTCAGTGCGGGCTGGAGTTGGGAGGAGAGGACCGGTTCAGACATCACTCATTGCTGACGTCATAGCTGTGGCTGGGATTTTAACTCAGTTTGCCAGGTTCACAGCAGTGCACGAACCATTGCATAACCGTTGCTCCCCCTTACAAAAAATGTCTGCACCATTCCTATCGAGGGATTCCATTACTTGGTTGCCACTCTGTTATTACTGTTGACCATCGTCCATCCTCCTAGCGATGCATCCTGCCCTAGCCCACTAACGCTTGTCGAATAGACAATGCGATCCCTCTAATGTGCGCGTGTTCTCCAATCCACAGGTTCCAGTTCCCGTCTGTATGTAATTCAAAGCAAAGCACCCTCCTTGCTACGTTGCGCACTTTTCCATTCCATTTTCCTTCCTCAGTGTCCCACGTTTCTGACACGTCAGCCCAGCCGTGGGACGCATTCGTGGTTTCTTGTCCCGGGATTATACGGGGAGGGACCGCGTAAAACACGACAGCGCCCCCCTATCTCACACGAGTGCCGAGTGGAGCTCGTGTCCTCCAGCAAGGCCCGAGCCGAGTGAAACCTGACCCCTTACTATCTCGGTCTCGCCCAGTGTTCGCCAATGTAGAGGGGCGACGGACCGAGACGACACTCGTCGTTATCTTCTAACATTCATAGCGGCGCTTGCATCTCAGAACGTTTCACATCTTTCCGCAAACATTCCGAGGGCACGCCCAGTGGCAGCTATCCCTGAGCAGTAGTAGGCGAGTCGGCACCGGCCTGCGAGTGGGGCGTTACGCCGATGGTGGTGGTGGTGTTTGGTGTCTTTGTGTGTGCACCTGTCGCATGCCCAGGCCGCCGCGTGTGTCTGGGGGAGCAGCTCGCCAAGGCCGAGCTCTTTCTCTTCCTCGTTGCTCTGCTCCAGAAGTTTTCATTCGTGGCCCCGCGTGGGCCTGACAGCCTCAACCTGGCCCCCCAGAATGGCATCACAGTCGCTCCACTGCCCTTCGAGGTTTCCACCGTGCCGCTCTAATAGTGCGCACCACTTTAACTGCCATGTCGCTCTAACTGCGCCGCTTCTGCAGAAAGCGTGAAGCTAACTTTCACCAGTTTTGCATAGTAAAGACCAACAGGGTTGAAACATTTCAGCAACGTGGTCGTGTTTCTGCTACAATAATTGCTTCGTGTGTTTTCAGAGTGAATCATCAGTTGAGCTCTTTTTTGTACAAACATCAAAATAGTTTAATTCGTGACCGCGATAACAATGTGCAATTTGGAGAAGAGAGACATGCGTGCAATCAGAGGCACGGGAAATGCAGCAAAAATACCGAGCGACATGGAGAGACGCAGCTAAAAGGACGTGGCACCAATGCACGCTGCTGGCATCAAGAGGTGCCAAAACGTGTGGGGCGGCTGCTCGGTACGTGGCCCGGAGTCAGCGCACTCCCCGCTCGCCACAGAGGTTCGCGGTTCAAATCCATTGGTCGCCCTGGTTATTGCTGCGGTGTAATAACTGTGATTATACTACCACGCGCCACCTGCTTCACTGACAGCGGATGTTAAAGGCCCCGTGATGTAATTCGCAAGAGCAGGCCATCGTGTTCCAGCATCATGGTCCACTGAATATACACAGAGCAATCATCGCCTGCGAAAACTTAGCGGAGCCCTCCTGAAAATTATTCACGGGACTCGGTGAAACGTTCTGGGTAAACGAGCGTAACAATAGTGATAATAATGGGTTCAGGTTAACGCAGCGAGGCGGCCTGTCGGTGACATTGCTCATGCTGGTGGCTGCTCACCGTGAACAGCCTAAAGCAGAGTGCGACCCAAGCGTGGAGCTCAGGGCCTTATTTAGCCGCGGGCAGCAGAGGGAGCTCCGACGGGAGCGGCTGATGGAAGTGAAGCGGTAGCTCGAGTGAGACGGGCGACGTCAGGTGACGCCAGCGCTGGGTCACACACAACCAGACATGCCGTCGCACAGCCACACAGACACACGCCACCACACAGAGTCACTTCAGGCACACGCCGCCAAACAGACACACACTGCCGCAGTTACACAGACCAATACCAATACCCGCCATTTGCCACTAAGTGACGGTGATGTCACCACGGCGCCCATGCCAGGCCAAGTGCACTTTGAGGCCACGTGACGTCTCAAAGGCTCCTGAACAGGAGGTCACGGGACAGACCCAGGTGCCATTGGTTGGCTGATTGAGATGACTGGTAGATGCACCAGCTGTACCCCCTACTGTGCCAACTTGCTGCATTTTTGCCGCCCGGCGCTCCGCTCGTTGTTATGATCATCGCTCCTCTGCCCTCAGTTGTTGTTGGAGGGTGACTGCCTCAAACTGCTCAGTAACATCTTTCACGAGCCTCCTCTATAGAGGCCAATCTTGACACCGCTGGTACCGGTCTTCGGCAAGTCCACTCAGCTCCACATCCTCCCATACCGCATCAGTCCATCTCTTCTCCAGCCCATGTCGCGCCCGTTTATCCCTCTCTATGCGGCCAAACAGAAGCTGTTTGGGCATGTGGTGCCTAGGCATTCGGGCTACATGACCCAGCCAATGCAGCCTTATCTGCCGGAGGAGCTCACTGATGGAAATGTGTCCAGATCTTTCAAGGATTTGTGAGCTCTTCACATAATCCAGTCTGGTTAAATCCAGGATGGATCGTAGGCAGGCCAGCCTGAATGTTTCTCACTGGCACAGATGTTCCATCAGAGGGGTCCACGTTTCACAAGCATAAAGAAGGGAGCACATGATTGTGACCGAGATAACCCAAAGCTTCGTGCAGAGCGACAGACCAGGTAGCTTCCACACAGCATTATGTAGCTAATGAAAAGATAATGCAGCCCGACTGATTCGGAGCAAGACCTCTGCTGTCAAACCGCAGCTGGTCATAAGCACACTGCCCAGGTATAGGAAACTGTCCACTCTCTCCATAACTGCTCCATCACAAATGGGGAACTGAGGGGGTGGAATGTTTAATGGCGCAAAATACCCAGGCAGGTGCTTAGGTTTGGTGGTGCTAATGGTAAAACCCTACCCCTTAGTGACACACTCCAGGTTCAGCAGCAGCACCTCCAACTCCTATGAGTGAGCAGCAATCACCAGATAATTAGCATACGTAATATGGTTGACCAATAGGAAGCCATCCCCAACTGCACGCGGGCATCGATGAGCCTTCCATTGTATTTGTACCAGATGGAAATTCCTCCGGTACAGCCATGGAAAGCTTCTCGAACTATGTCGTCAAAGATGATGTGAAATAATCTGGCAGCTAGAGGACATCCCTGTCGTACCCCAAGGTGAACAGGGAATGGTTCCAAATCCTGACCACGAAGCTTTACCCGGGCCTTCTCACCATGATGAAGGCCCTGAATGATCGTAAACAGTCAGGGACTCCGAAAGCATGAAGAACCGCCCACAGCCCTGGCCTGTTGATGGTATCATAGGTCTTGACCAGGTCAATAAAACAGAGATGTAGGTCTTTTTGGAAATCTCTACACCTCTGCTGTAACAGACGGACAGAGAATATGGCATCCGTGCAGAACCGTCTTAGTCTAAAACCACATTGGAGCTCCGCAAGCCTCTCCTCAGCGTCCCTGGAAAGGCAATGTTGAATAATCCTTGCGAGAAACTTTCCCAGAGGGGGGACCACATAGATTGCAACAACTATAGGGGCATTTCTCTAACTCAGTGTGCCATTAAACACTCCAGGGCATCCTTCCATACAGACACATGCCACCACACAGACACACGCCTCTCACACAGTCACACAGACACACGCCATCACACAGACACACAGACATGCGCAATCAAACAGACACCCGATCACTGTCACCATGCAGCACAGTCACACAAGGTCACACAGGACATTAGCGCAACATTGATCACAGCACAGACCGTTATTTCTCCAAAGAGTGGTCCGCTAGTGAGTAACCCAGTGGTGGGTAACCCAGTGGTGAGTAACCCAGTGGTGAGTAACCCAGTGGTGGGTAACCCAGTGGTGAGTAACCCAGTGGTGGGTAACCCAGTGGTGAGTAACCCAGTGGTGAGTAACCCAGTGGTGGGTAACCCAGTGGTGAGTAACCCAGTGGTGAGTAACCCAGTGGTGGGTAACCCAGTGGTGGGTAACCCAGTGGTGGGTAACCCAGTGGTGAGTAACCCAGTGGTGGGTAACCCAGTGGTGAGTAATCCAGTGGTGAGTAACCCAGTGGTGGGTAACCCAGTGGTGAGTAACCCAGTGGTGAGTAACCCCCCACCCCCCTTCCACCTGTGCGAGGCTGCCCTTGGCGGCGGCGAGCTTGTAGAGTGCCACGGCCGGGATGCACAGCATGGAGGAGAGCGCGAGCAGCCAACCCAGGGCCTCGGCCCAGCCGGGGTACTCGTAGCGGCCGTTGTACACGAGCCGCTCGTAGTGCACCAGATGGAACACGAAGATCCCCTAAGCACACGCAACCCACACGCAACGCACACGCAGGCAACAATACAGAGATAAGTCAGGAGTGGTCTGGGGTGTCGAAGTACTCAGCCAGCACCGGTGAGCTGCATGGGCACTGCACGGGCTGGAGAAGAGATGGAATGATGCGTTACAGGAGGATGTGGAGCCGAGTGGATTTCCGATGACCGGTACCAGCGGTGTCAAGATCGGCCTCTGTGGAGGAGGCTCGTGAAGGGACACTACTGGGCAGTTGGAGGCAGTCGTCTGGTAACGGAGGGCGGAGGAGCGACGCTCACAACGAGCGGAGTGCCGGGCGGCTAGAATGCGGCGAGGTGGTACAGTGGGCGGCCCAGGTAGTGTATCTGCCAGTCATCTCGGTCAAGTCAACCCATTAAGCCTTCGCTATTCCATAAGACTTCTTTGTTTCATGAAGCGTACAAAGCGCACCTAGTCTGGTACCGGCCCCATGGTGCCGTCATGGCCACTTGAGGGTGGAGGGCGGCCGCTGTGGTGCGTACCAAGCACACGGCAGGGCTGACCACGCTCCAGCACCACCACACCCATGCGTGCGGACGGAACCCGAGCATCGCCGTCAGGTCCTGCATGAACCGATTGGCTCCTGTACATACCAACAATGCCAACAACATCGACAACATTAACAACATCACCAACATCGACAACAGGTATGAGCAGGTACTGTATGTAGATGGGTTGTGAGTGAATGAGTGAGTGGGTAAGCGAGTGGATGAGTAAGCACATGGACTAAATAAGCAACCATGTGTGTCAGTAGGCTGTGGGTGAGTGATTCAATGTGTGAGTGATTCAATGTGTGAGTGGGTGAGTCTATGAGTGGGTGAGTTTGTGAGTGAGTGAGCGTGCGAGTTTGTGAGTGGGTGAGCATGCGAGTGGGCCTGTGCTACCGTAAACCCAGGCCACAGCGATGCACTCCCAGCCCATGAGCCACAGCATAGAGATGCCACTGGCTGCATAGCTGTCAAACAGCTGGAACACATAAATGCCACCCTGCAGCACAGACACATCGCAGACACATCCGTGCCCTCAGCTTGTGTACTCACTGCAGAAGAGTAGATGTGTTTTGTCTATAGGCCTGTTTACTCATTCGCAATGTTTCCTAGAGGTCTCGTTTATTTAACGATGCAACCCTGGTCGTGGCCAGTGAAGCGAATGCCACTGCCAGCCCTAATGACGGGCAGGAGACTCCGAACAGCTTCACCATCGCCGAGCCTCATTAGCACGGCCCGGCGAACAGCGCTCGCATTGCCGGCCTTCATAGCTGCTCGCTAACAGCATTTGTCCCAAAACGTCTGTTAAGGCTATACGGGAGATCTTTGTCTTGATGGGGGAGGGGTGGTGGGGGATGAGGGAGGGTGGTCACGTGGTGAGCGTGTAGGCCGTAGGGAGACAGCCTGCCAAGTTGGCGCCTGCTACCTGAGTCACCATGGTGACGGAGAGGAGGAAGCTGACGAGGCAGCACAGACCCGTGAAGGCCTCGCGGCGCCTCTTGCCACTCAGCTGGGATGGGAACAAGTCCGTGAGCCCCGTCACAAACCCCTCCATCCCCGCAAACTGTGGCACGGGAGTAGGGGAGACGAGAGGGGCAAGAAACCTCGCGGTTTGGCCAAATTAGTCACGATTGTTCAATTATTTTAATAATGTCAAAATTCCATGCTGAGCACCCCAATGCTGTCGCATCTCTTCTTTAACCAAGTTGCAGAGTACTTGGGTTACTCCAGCTAATAATGGCCCGGTGTATCATGAACGTTCAGGTTTGGAAGTGGCTCCGAGTACTGAGCTGGCACCGCCAAGACCGTGGGTCCCAAGCATGACGTGACCGTTGGTGGATGTCGACATCATTCCTCCTACACCTTTCCTCTGAGAAGCGATTCCTGGCCTCTTGGTAACGACGGGAGGGGGCAGGGGCCAGGTCGCCCTGTGGGTGATTTTAAAATGGCCCGAAGATGTTTTACGGCCGCCCGCATTGTGGCGATCGTCAGCAAAGTAAAACATACCAAAGGGGAGTGCGTGCGCCTCTCATCTCTGTCTACTCTCCAAATCCAGTGACAGGAAATCCGCATTCTTATGACAGTCATCGGGATGGAGAGGTGACACTGGACTGCACTATGAACTCGGAGGCTTGGCCATGGCTAACATCAGCGCCCAGTGATGTTTGAACCGGTCAGGCTTGGTTAGGATAAATCGGAAATCAAGCATCAATGTCAATAATGAAAGTTTCATAATTCCTGACAAAATGTATATAAATTATATAAATAACGAATTGAATATACATTATGAAATGAATGCCAGAGAATGACTAACGAAATGACAGCCATGTTGCATGGGATTGTCTTCCTGACAACTGATTGGTTTGCACAGTGGGAGTGATGACATCACCCCGAGCAACCGTAGTCATGTGACCAAGCGTTGCGATCTCGGTAGGACATTCATTATAACCTCCCTTAATTCTAACGCCATTTCAGATCCTACTACAATAACAACCTGATCTCGTCAAGGAGAATAAACCATCACGTGAACATATGTTGTTTCTCTGGAACTCCGTTGATTTGGCTACATGAACTAAAGTGGTCCACGCGTTGTTCCCAGTAGGAGGAATGTCTCCTGGCGAGAGAGAGCTATGTGCGGCAGCTCACCTCGCTGTCCACGCCAAGCAGCAGGAGCATGATGAAGAGCAGGGTGGCCCAGAGAGCAGGCACCGGCAGCAGGGAGATAGCACGTGGGTAAACCACAAACACCAGCCCGGGGCCTACACACACACACACCACTTATACACACGCACGTACCTATATAGGGCATCTCTTGACAATAGACTGACAGTCCAGTCTCTTGACGAGGTCTCTAGACAATAGACTGACAGTCCAGTCTCTTGACAAGGTCTCTAGACAATAGACTGACAGCCCAGTCTCTTGACGAGGTCTCTAGACAATAGACTGACAGGCCGGTCTCTGACGGTATCGCTAGACAATAGACTGACAGCCCAGTCTCTTGACGAGGTCTCTAGACAATAGACTGACAGCCCAGTCTCTTGACGGGGTCTCTAGACAATAGACTGACAGCCCAGTCTCTTGACGGGGGTCTCTAGACAATAGACTGACAGCCCAGTCTCTGACGAGGTCTCTAGACAATAGACTGACATCCCAGTCTCTGATGGAGTCTCTGGACAATAGACTGACAGGCCGGTCTCTGATGGGGTCTCTAGACAATAGACTGACCGGCCGATCTCTGATGGGGTCTCTAGACAATAGACTGACAGCCCAGTCTCTTCACGGGGTCTCTAGACAATAGACTGACAGGCCGGTCTCTGATGGGGTCTCTAGACAATAGACTGACAGCTCGGTCTCTTGACGGAGTCTCTATACATAGACTGACAACCCGATCACAAGGACCCTGCGAGTGGCAGCTACAGGGGAAGGTGGTGCTGGAGGAGCGCTGTGGTGGTGGCGGTGGCGGTGACGGTGGTGGCGGTGATGGTGGTGGCGGTGATGGTGGTGGCACCGGTCTCGGCGACATGGCTGATGTCCACGCCCTGCTCCTGCGCCATGAAGCCCAGGAAGGAGAATACGACAAAGCCGGAGAAGAAGCTCGTGGCGCTGTTGATGATCGTCAGAATAATGCTGTCCCTGGTGTTGGTGCCGGCGCCAGCGTGGGAACACATCGGGTAACCATCACGCGCAACACAACCACGCGCAACGCAACCACGCACAGCAACATTTTTAATGCAGCAGTATAGCGGCTAAATGCTACTGCCACTCAACATGCTTCACAAACCTCTGACAGCTCTATCATGTGTCAGCGTGTGTGAGAGTGTACCTGGCCTGACGCAAGCACCGTGGTGAAGTCATCGTCACAGAGTGGGGGATCACGGCTGTTATTGTTGTCTGGATGTGCGAGTTGTGTTTGTGTGAATGTGCTTGTAAATGTGCGTGTGTCTGAGCCTGTGTCTGTGACACAAGTGGGAGCCCCAACCAGAGGGGAGGAAAGGGCCAGGGGGGTGAGAGCAAGTGGAAGGACGGAGAGGAGTGAGAGCCCTGGCCGTGGGGTGGTGGTGCAACGCGGGAAGCTCCCGGCCGCCCCCTCACCACTCACCGGTAGCAGTTGTTGTGGAACTTGTTGTAGCTGCCCAGCGCGGGCAGAACCCCGAAGCCCACGCCATAGCAGTAGAACACCTGCGTGCTCGCCTCCACCCACACCTACAGCAGCAGCAACAACAGCCGCGGTGCTTGTGCCAAGCTAGGTACACCCGGAGGTGACGTGAATTATCAAACGTTCGCCGGCAAGAGGTCACGGAACAGACCCTGGTGCCGTGGGTTGACCGAGTTGACTGGGAGATGCACCACACCTGCGGCATATGCGCACGTAGCATCCCAATCAACGCTCCAGCACTGTGGGCATGGAAGCGGTTGCTAGGCAAGGAGTCACTGCAGCAGCCATTCAGCTGACAGTAAGACAACCCCCATGCAACATGGCCGACATGGTGTCACTCATGTAACATGGCTGCCGGTCTGTGCCTCAGGTATGTTCATGTTGATTGAATGCGTTATTGATATTCTTGGTTCTTTCGGTAAAGTCACGTAAAATATGTGATTCCGGACATACAGTACCCTGGCGTCTACAAACTAAGTTGCCTCTATGGTAGTAGTTACATTGGAGAAACCAAACGACATGTCTCGGACCACATTCGTGAACACAAAGCAGACCTAAAACACGGTAGGACCAACACCTCGGCCGTGGCAGATCACTGTTATAATTCAGTAGGCTCACATGACATTGACTTCTCCAAGACAGAGGTTCTTTGCAAGCCATCTGGCTACCATGAGAGATTCGTTCATGAGGCTATCCACATATACAAACACAGAGACAATTTAAACCGAGAAGATGGATTCTGGCTTAGAAATCATTGGAAGGATTTGATAAACCATTTCGGGTCTTAATTGATTGTTCACGCTTACGGAGGCTTTCAGACCGCATCAATTATTTTCGTCTCCCCCCTCCTCTTTTCCGAACATAGATGGTCTCGTCCATCTGAATAACTGCCAAATCGCTCTCCGTGGTGCTCACGTTAAAAGAAACCGCCACTTTTTTCAAATTTTCTTGCTGTGGTTTTCACACCTGATGATGATTGCTTGTGTTGCAGTCGAAACGGCGTGAGGATTTTATTGTTTTTTATTTTTATTATTTTATTGTTTCCCTTCTACGTGACTTTTCCGAAAGAACCAAGAATATGAATCCCTGCAGTCACGAAAGTTTTAAATGCGTTATTGATGTTAATGATGTAATTATAAGTGTTATTAATATAATAATTCATTATGTTATGTCACTGATTATTGGTTGACTTACTTTTACTTTGACAATCAACTTACCAGTGAGTGGTCCTGATAGCCCCTAAAGTTATCTTCAAATGTTACAATGCTTTAATGTCTTCACTCCCTCATCTTAGCTAACACAATTTCTAGAACTGCGCAAGTAATTTTGTACTCAAGTCCTAGACTCCTAGAGCACATTCCAGCTTCCTACCGGGGACACAAACCTGGACATTGTTGCCAATCCTGGGCCATCACACGACTCGGCCCATCATCATTACCTTGCCGGGGTCGATAAGACGAGTACCACTTTGCGAGGAAGTAAACAGTGCTTGTCCTATGGATCGACTCGCCCCTGCCACAGAAACGTGGAATTTGCAATGTCTGCCACTGGGCTGGCAGAGGCAGGTTCCCACGGCCGCAATGCCGCGATCCAAGCGCCGACCTCCGACCTGTGGCGTGGCGAGCTTGGCCCAATCGGGTTGGAGATAGTAGGTGATGCCGTCGAGAGCGCCGGGCAGCATGACTCCTTGCACGAGCAGCACCAGCAGCAGCACGTACGGCACGGAGCCCGTCACGTACACCACCTGCGGGTCCCGCCCGACAAACACAGAGATCCCCCATATAGCCTCCAACATGGTCGGGGCAAGTGCTGTTAGCGAGCAGTGCCTACGAAGCCTGGCACGGCGTACGACTGGGTGGGTTGTTTACAAGCCGCGCCAGGCACTTGTGAAAACACCTGCCTGAGCATTTGGTCTGACGTGTGGCACCTACGTTTTCTGACATTTACTCGGCCGCACGCGAGGTGCCACATCCGAGTCACCTGACCCTCGGCACTCGGTGAGAAATTCACCCCCGGGGATTCGGTGAATTATCGCGATCCAAGGCCGCAGTTCGTTTCACAGACCCCTCTCTGTCGTCTCGATTTTTATACTTGCAGGAACAAACAATTTGCATGGTTTTAATTAACAAAAAATCATTACATTCCAAATAATACCCCTCCAGCAATTGCGGTGGGAGTGCAGCATCTCACCTGACCAGCTCCCGCTCCAATCCCAACATTGCACAACTCAGCGCCTTCCACAGGCTCTGCTGCCTGTCTCTCCCCTCTCACTACTCCCCTCATTGCTTGGAGCTCTCCTCCACGAGCCATCTGTGCCATCAACTCCATGCCCCTGTTCCAAGCCCAAAATCAATGCCTTCCGCTTCGCCCCTCTGCCCTTGACTGACTGCCTCTCTCTCTCTCTCTCCACGGTACAAACACTCTCGCTGCCCATGCATGGACGCCATGCCGTCCGCATCAAGCACCACAGGTCACCTTGCCGGAGAACTTGATCCCCTTCCACACGGAGAAGTAGACCAGGAGCCAGACGGCCAAGAGGCACAGCAGCATCTCCCAGTTCACGGAGCCCAGGTCGTGCATGCCTGACGACACGCGCAGCACGTTCCGCCTGTGTGAACAAAGACAAAGATCCCCGTGGAGCCTGTAGTAGGCTGTTGGGGCAAACGCTGTTAGCTGGCAACACCTAATAAGGCCGGCACGGCGCACGCACGAGGGGGTGGGTGGCCAGCATCACGCCTGGCCGCCTGTGTAGAGTTGTAAATTCCCGATTCTGCTACGAAGATTAAGAACCCGTTCGAATCTCTCGCACAACGGCGGCTTTAGAGAACGGCCCACTGAAACGGATACCGCAGAGCTACGTCAGAGATTCCTCCAGCGAGCGACCTCTGGCCCACCGCCGCCTGCAGCGCAACGTGCATCATCCACTCACTCCCAGAATTCCACGGCGGGCGAGGTCGTGTCCTGGCACGCCGAAGCCCCCTCGCTGGCGTTGCTGGCCGCACGCGAGGTGCCCAGGCCTCGGGACAGCGAGACGTTGCGGAGGCCGCTCGCGTTGGACGGGCACGACGCGTACGTGTCGGAGCAGGCAGCCGTGGCCCACCAACCCTGGCAGTGGGTCCAGGGCAGCTGGGCCGTGGTCAGGCTGTGCAGGAGGTAGTAGAGGGACCAGGCCAGGACCACGATGTAGTAGAGGTCGCTGAGGAAGACGACCACCATCGACGCCACACCGACGCCTGCACCACAGTAATAATCGTGCGGAGGTGGTCACGTGGGTCAGAGGTCAAGCGCTGACACAGCACATCCAGAGTTGGGACCAGGAACTGACGATTAGAACCGGGTTCTCAAGCGCAGCTTGTTTATGGTCTCAGCCAGGGCACCAATTACTTCAATATATTGCGGCTTTTTTCACCAAATTTGTATAAACGCGAGAGTGTGCAAATCACTCGTATAGAGATTTAAAACATTGGTTTCACCATTAATCGAAAAACACCTATTTTATTTAATCACGAGTGCCTCGCAAATCGGAAGGTCCACGAGTTTACATCCGGGATCGATACCACGAGCACCACGTCGCTGGGAATTCAGAAAGTCAACAGCGGTTGTCCCATCAATGGACTCGCCCCTGCCATAAGAATGGGGAATTTCCACCACTGGCCCAGGGGCGTAACGGAAGACGAGCCCACGCACCAATGCTGGACAGTTATCACCGAACAGCGTGCCGAGTTCTGCTCGCGCCGCACTCGGCAAAGACCGTACCGGTGAAGAGCGGCACGATCTTCCACACGCCGATGGTGCCCTGCTGCGTGAGCTGCCCCAGGGCCACCTCGAGGAAGAAGAGAGGGATGCCCACGCACACCACCGTGAGCCCGTACGGCACGAGGAACGCCCCTGCAGACGCGGGAGATGGGCGGCGACGGGCACATGAGGACGAAGGGAGAGGCCAACAGTAGGAATGAGTATACGTTTAGTAACATGTAGGGAATTAGTATGCATTTAGTAACAAATAGGGAATTAGTATGCATGCATTAGTAACAAATAGGGAATGAGTATGCATTAGTAACAAATAGGGAATTAGTATGCATTAGTAACAAATAGGGAATTAGTATACGTTTAGTAACAACTAGAGAATTATATATTCTTAGTTTTTTCGGTAAAGTCACGTTGAAGAGAAACAACAAAATAATAAAATATATATAAAACAATAAAAAATTCTCACGACGTTTCGACCATAACTCAAACGGTCATCTTCAGGTGTGTTGGTTTGCATAAATTTATTTTTAAACGGCGCATTTATTTATTTATATAATTAAAAAGAGACCTGATGGTTCAATGAGCCACTCTGTCTACAGGAAAGCTACCCATACGGATGCTTATCTGAAACCGGATTCCCACCACCATCCATCACAGAAGAATTCTCTCATCAAGACTCTGTATCATAGAGCCCAATGCATATCCGACCAGGAACACATAAGCAGTGAACTCAAGCACGTACACCAAGCTCTTAGGGCTAATGGTTACTCCGACTATACAATCCACAAAGCTATCACTCAAACCATGAAGAAGAACCCTCTTGAGGAGCCTTTCAAAACCATCACTTTACCCTACATTGCTGGGATCACAAAAAAGATCTCCAAAATCTTGAATAAACACAAGATCCAGGTCCGTTTCAGCACATTACATAAAATCCGTGATCTGGTTCCGTCTGTAAAAGATGTGATTCCGGACATACAATACCCTGGTGTCTACAAACTAAGTTGCCTCTGTGGTAGTAGTTACATTGGAGAAACCAAACGCCATGTCTCGGACCGCATTCGTGAACACAAAGCAGACCTTAAACACGGTAGGACCAACACCTCGGCCGTAGCAGATCATTGTTCTAATTCAGTAGGCTCACATTCCATTGACTTTTCCAAGACAGAGGTTCTTTGTAAGCCATCTGGCTTCCATGAGAGATTCGTTCATGAGGCTATCCACATATACAAGCACAGAGACAATTTCAACCGAGAAGATGGATTCTATCTTAGCAATCATTGGAAAGATTTGATAAACCATTTCAGTTCTTAATTGATTGTTCACGCTTACAGTGGCTTTCAGACAGCATACATTATAAAAAATTTCCTCTCCCCCCTCCTCTTTTCAGAATATAGATGGACTAGTCCTGGGTAAACTGCCAAATCGCTGCGCTTGGCGCTAACGTTTTTTAAATAAATAAATAAATGCGCCGTTTACAAATAAATTTATGCAAACCAACACACCTGAAGATGGCCGTTTGAGTTATGGTCGAAACGTCGTGAGAAATTTTTATTGTTTTATATATATTTTATTATTTTGTTGTTTCTCTTCAACGTGACTTTACCGAAAAAAACTAAGAATATGAATTACTGCAGTCACGAAAGCTTTAAATCAAAATTTAAAAACTAGAGAATTAGTATGCATTTAGTAACAAATAGGGAATTAGCATGCATTAGTAACAAATAGGGAATTAGTATGCATTTAGTAACAAATAGGGAATTAGTATGCATGCATTAGTAACAAATATGGAATTAGTATGCATTAGTAACATATAGGGAATTAGTATGCATTAGTAACAAATAGGGAATTAGTATGCATTTAGTAACAAATAGGGAATTAGTATGCATTTAGTAACATATAGGGAATTAGTATACATTTAGTAACAAATAGGGAATTAGTATGCATTAGTAAGATATAGGGAATTAGTATGCATTAGTAACAAATAGGGAATTAGTATGCATTAGTAACAAATAGGGAATTAGTATGCATTAGTAACAAATAGGGAATTGGTATGCATTAGTAACAAATAGTGAAATAGTATACATTTAGTAACAAATAGGGAATTGGTATTCATTAGTAACAAATAGGGAATTGGTATTCATTAGCAACAAATAGGGAATTGGTATGCATTTAGTAACAAATAGGGAATTAGTATGCATTTAGTGACAAATAGGGAATTGGTATTCATTAGTAACAAATAGGTAATTAGTATGCATTAGTAACAAATAGGGAATTAGTATGCATAAGTAACAAATAGGGAATTAGTATTCATTAGTAACAAATAGGGAATTAGTATGCATTAGTATAGGTAATTAGTATGCATTAGTACCAAATAGAGAATTAGTATGCATTAGTAACAAATAGGGAATTAGTATGCATTAGTAACAAATAGGGAATTAGTATACATTTAGTAACAAATAGGGAATTATTATGCATTAGTAACAAATAGGGAATGAGTATGCATGCATTAGTAACAAATAGGGAATGAGTATTCATTAGTAACAAATAGGGAATTAGTATGCATTAGTAACAAATATGGAGTTAGTATGCATTAGTAACAAATAGGGAATGAGTATACATTTAGTAACATATAGGGAATTAGTATACATTAGTAACAAATAGAGAATTAGTATTCATTAGTAACATGCAAATATACGAAACTTGGAAATCCAGAACTCGTGCATATCGAGGGTTTACTTTATTTAACTGCATTTACGAATTTTGTTTGTGCATGAGAGCTATATTTTCCATTCTGTAAAGTATACAAATATTAATGTTCCCGTTGTGAAGCTGTCTCTTCATTCTAGGAGAATACGTTATCTTCCTGCACTATTATTTAAATGATGTTTTTAATGTTACACAATGTTATACCATTATACAGGGTGCTTTAAACATTTTTTAACACTTATATGGGACTATCGTTTTTAATGGAAAAAGAACAGATAATACACTGTAACATGATAACAAATGTAATGTTAACAGCTTCAAAAAGTCAAAGAGTCTCAACTTGTTCACCATCGTTGTCAACAAATGCCTGGGATCTTCTCCAGGTGATCTCCAGAGCCCCAACGTTTTTTAGGCACCCTGTATTTAATACTACGGTATTGCGACGCTACGTGATGGTGGTGATCATCATCATCATCATCGGCGATGATCGATCCACTGTTGGATGAAACCCAGAAGTGGATTGGATGGAACCCAGGCGCTTCTTGCTATGAGTTGCGAGTGTTGCATGGCGGTCACCCTCCTACTGCCCTCCTCCAGACCTTGTGGAGCTGTGCGCTGATAGTTTCGCCAAACTGGTTTTTTTCCAGTTCACTTTAAATTACTTAATAATTCCTCCTCTTATCCGTGCCGCTGCAGGCGTGTAATTATGCGTGTGTGTGCACGCACCGCATCGTGAGAGGTCAGCAGTGTCCATCGTAAACACCTCACGGATATTCTTGGTTCTTTCGGTAAAGTCACGTTGAAGGGAAACAATAAAATAATAATATATATTGTTTTATATATTTTTTATTATTTTATTTTATTGTTTCCCTTCAACGTGACTTTACCGAAAGAACCAAGAATATGAATTACTGCAGTCACGAAAGCTTTAAATCAAAATCTCACGGATAGTGAAAACCTTGGCACAGTCGCTACTGATAATCTATGACCGAGACCTCCTCATCTATTCGCAAGAGAACCGGCGCTGCAAAGGTCCAGTTCAACCAGACAACCAGGCACTCAGCGGCCCAGGTAGGGCCGCTTTATGACATTGCTTGGGTCCTCAGCTATGTTAAGCTTTAAAAGTCTCCTCGAGGAATGTCCATATATATTTATCATAATGGAAGGAAATTAACCATTTCAGACAGAGTATTTTTTCCATATCTAATTAATTTTTCAACCGATTATGTAAAACGTTAAACTTCATATTATTTTATCGAAATTAGAGGCCCCTCGATATGAGGCTCTAACTAAGCTGTAACTTACTTAACTCATGCCTAAATCTGGCCCTGGGCCCAGGCACAGCAACGGTCCAGGCACAGTGATGGCTGTGCGACCCAGGAGGGCAGAGAGTGCGATTCCGCACGTAGCCGTAGCTGCAGGGCCCTCTCTCTCACCTCCACCGTTCTTGTAGCAGAGGTAGGGGAACCGCCATACGTTACCCAGGCCCACGCCGTAGGCCACGCCTGACATCAGGAAGTCCATTTTTCTCGCCCAGCTCTCCCTGCCGGGCCTCGCCTGCCCGGGCGCCACCTCCGATGGCCTCCCTGGGCCTCCTGCCGCCCCCGGCCCCTTGCGGCCTCCGCCGGCCGTGCTGTAGGCCACAGACGGCCGCTCCGCGGCGCCGTGGACCGCGATGTCCGCGGTTTCGCACGCGAGAGGCATGACCTGAAAGACGGACAACGGATCGCTCGCTCGCTTGCTCGCCCAGTTCCATAACTGTGCAGGACACGCGTGTCAAATACTCACCTGTGGGGCCAGAGAGGCACCTGTGAGAGTAAGTACAGCAAATACGTTTGTGGCCTACCCGTGACGGGTGTGAGTGCTCTCTTCTCGTGGCCGTTCGCTTTCGCTGGGTGCACTGGCGGTCTCTTGCATGCACGGTCCGTCGGGGGTCACGATGGCCAGGTTTATGTCAAAAGCCAAAGTGATTTCCCACTCAAGTGAGCATTGAGGAGGTGCTCATCACCCCCGAGGCCAGTGGTGGAAATGCCACATTCCTATGGCGGGGGCGAGTCTCTGCATTGGACAACCACTGTTGAATTTGCCACAATGCGGTACTAATTTTATCGACCGTAAAAAATACTGAGTTAGTTGAACAACCCGAGCAGGACCGTGGGTGAAGTGAGGATTTCCTTGATCGAGAATTTTGCTCGTGTAAGATCATTGGCGCGCCTTATCTGAACCGATCCTGAGCACCCCTTCACAAAGGGGCACGGACCAGAAGGGTGAAGTATGGCGAAAACACCCCCATGAACGACACAGCATAGGCTGCATTGACACAGAACAGGAACCACACGTAACCGAAGCTGTAAATTATTCACGGCCACCCAGCTGGTGCTGCGGCCAAGCACACAACCCACGGTCGGAGGAAGGTCGCGAGGTCAAATTCTGAGCAGGGGTCAAATCGGCCCATCAGTCCCCTGCGATCGATAAAAGAACACATCTTTATCGGGAGCGATCAGTGTGGGTGTCCTATGAAAAAAACTAGTCCCGGCCATATCTATGTTGAAAGTGATATTTCAACGACTTGCCGAGTGATTACTTTTTCTCCCAAACACGTATCCGGTATTGACAACGACAGCAGGCAGTGGTGGACGTGTGCCAGTACGCCGTGCGGGAACGCCGGCGTGAGAGGGGAGAGACAAAGACAGTCGCAGGAGACACTTGGGATGTCTGCCAACAGCATTTGAGAATCGCGGATAACAAAGTAGAAATAACACGTAGGCTTTCACGACCAATATCATACATAATACAGGTTTTTTTTAGGGTTAGATCGCGTAAATATATAAATGTGTCGTTAAACCCACCACCACCCGACAGCCAACTAGTAAGGGTTGTAATTTAAACAGAACGTGGCCAATTCATCACTAGTACAGCACACCGGTGTGTTGGAGAGCCAAGCCACAACATTTGCAATCTGAGTATGACGTTTCGCCACTAATTACAACTCGCTTCATCAGGCGACAGCATCATTTGCTTAATACAAGCAACACTCTTCACCAGTTTTAGCATGCAGTGTCCCATTAGCGGTCGCAATCAGGCTTGTTTTGCTCCCCTGTGTAGGTTTGCATTGATTAGATTGGGCGGATGCCATACGAAACCAACAGACTCCGGTTCAACTCCCAGCCTCGGTTATCTAACGCCTCACCACCACCTCGCTCACCACGTCCCTTACCCCGTCCCTCACCACCTCGCTCTTCTTTTCTTTGGCTGTCCATTGCGAACGATGATGACCGCGGAGAACAGCTAGCAGCAGCAGCATTCTCCTACGCGCTGGTGGGATGAGAGGCCAGCCCTTGAGCTGAAGCGTCAACCATGCTGTGGGCAAGAGTTGCTGCTCGTCCGCTGAATGGGATTCGTGTTGTGCCGTTGCTGCTGGTGTTGATGCCGAGACGTTTTTTTTTTACTTTTTCCTTCAACCCTCTGACTGAGTCGACTACAGCAGCCACTTCTCCACTGCTTACAGTTGGCTAACATTTCCCCCCATGTGTCCCACACATTGATATTGGCTGCCTTGAGGTGGCTTTAAGGACGTCTTTGTAGCACAGTTCTTGGCCACCACAGGAACACGCTTTGGCCTCTTTGAGTTCACCGTAAAGAAGGATTTTAGGAAGCCAATGTTCTGGCATTCGAGTTCCGTGCCCTGACCATCTCAACTGAGAGGAGGCATAACTGTTCCCTCTCTACCCTGTGGATCGCAGCTCTCGCCAGCACCAGGAATCATTCATTCTTGCCACTCGATCCTCGCGATTTGTCTCAAATTACTCAGCTGTAGGCTCGCCAGTTTATTCAGGTGTCGTCTGTATAGTATCACTGTTTCTACAGATTAAAGTAGTGAAGGAATTACCACTGCACTGTAGACCTTTACTTTGACGAACATAGATATTTGGTGTTTGAACATATGTCGTAGGTTCAACTGAGTCGCAGACGTGCTCTTGGAGGCAACACATTTATTTAACACCAACACACGGGGTAACTGACCACCAGGCTAACTACACTAGCTACAGCATAATTAGCTACTACGGACCACAGCTTGGGTCCAGGTCAACGTGTTGGAGACTTGGAGAACGTGGAAAGTAGACGAAGGTTTCTTCAGGATGAACAACAACAACGCCGGTCCCTCTGGGGGACTAGGCTTATATTTTCTGCGTCGTGGCCGGCTCCGCCCTTGGCCACAACCACCTTCCAGAACCCTCTAGCAGGATCTCGACCCGGACCATGTGACCACACGGCCTCCAGTAACCCCTTCCCTAAGGCCAGCACTCTCACACCCGATCCTCTAGGGCCGGTACTACACCCACACCATAGTGGTGTCCGTGATGTCGTTACATCGCACGCCGTTCCTCTCTAGGCCCGGTACTACACCCACATCATAGTGGTGTCTGTGATGTCGTTACATCGCATGCCGTGCCTCTCTAGGGCCGGTACTACACCCACATCATAGTGGTGTCTGTGATGTCATTACATCGCACGCCGTGCTCCTCTAGGGCCGGTACTACACCCACATCATAGTGGTGTCTGTGATGTCGTTACATCGCACGCCGTGCCTCTCTAAGGCCGGTACTACACCCACATCATAGTGGTGTCTGTGATGTCGTTACATCGCACGCCGTGCTCCTCTAGGGCCGGCACCGCACAGTGACATCCCACGATGTCACTTCACATACAAACGTTGTTGATTGTTTGCATGTTTTACCACAAGTGTCCGGTTAATGCAAACCTGATGCCTTTTGCAAAAGGTATATAGTTGGTTGTAGAACATCTTAACACCTACATCATTAGACCTCCTTTGCGAGTACCAAAATATAATAATAGGTCTAATGATGTAGATGCTTACCCAGAGCCCTCATTAATTTGATAGTGGCATTGTCTTTGAGCTGTATGCCTTTTGGCGTCCTCTGGTCTAGCACCAATTGAGACGAGGCTCAAAAGAAAGCCGTCTCTGGTGTCGACAAATCAGTTTCAAGGACAATGCATTTATTATCAGTGTGTTTTTTGTTTGCATTTTGACCACAACTATTGTGGTTAATGCACACGTGATTCCTTGTAAAAAAAATTAAGCTTTGCTGCCAGGAAAAAGGGGAAAACCCTATTATTATCTTAACCTATTCTTATGTTAAATTTTGATTTAAAGCTTTCGTGACTGCAGTAATTAATATACTTAGCTCTTTCGGTAAAGTCACGTTGAAGGGAAACAATAAAATAATAAAATATATATAAAACAATTATTATATATAAGACATTATCTATAAAACAATTATTTTATTGTTTTATATATATATTATTATTTTATTGTTTCCCTTCAACGTGACTTTACCGAAAGAGCTATTCTTACGTTGTTATGTTGTCATTAGGCATGCCTTGTTTTATAAACACAAAACTCCACGCAACAGCTGTGAGCGTGAGCAGCTGTTGCTGCTGTCCCGAGTTGCTGTTGTTACAAGTTTGTTCGTTTCTCTTTTTTTATTGCACTACCGATAACCAAAATGAAAAAAAAAAACGATTAACCTGGTTACCGGTTTGGCGCTCACATATAAACGTCTGTCGATAAACTCGGCACATTCAGTGTCTCATCAGCGGCCACGCTTCTTTTGCTAATCCTGTGTATGTCTGCATTGACTAAATTGGGCGGGTGCAGTACCATACCGACAGACCCCGGTTCGACTCCAAGACCCGGTCATCCAACCAACGCCTCATCACCTCGCCCAGCACCCTGAGAAGCCCAAGGGAGCTGTAACGGCCCGTGCGATGCGCATGGCAACTTGCAATTAATGCAGAGGACGCCGGCTCTATTCTCTCTCCCGGCGCGGCAGCTTGTAACGGCGGAGCAGACTTTCTCAAACTCACCCCCCCCCCTCCACCGCCTCTACCCACCATGCAGTATATACAGTATACAATAGATGAGTCCAGCACGTAAAATGTGGCTACTGCCACCTCTTCCTAAGCGTCTGGTCAGCATGGAGGAGTAGGCCAAACACCCTCTCTAGAGCTGCCTCGAGTGGAGGGTCCCCTCTCACGAGCAGCACCGGGTACGAGGCGTTGCCAGCCGCCGCTCCTTTAAACCGCACGCATGCGGCGACTTTGACCGCCGTGCCGTTTGTACGTTCACGTAACCCCGATCCGCGCATTCGTTCTGTGAAATTCCTCGGGTATCGGCTGCCGGGCTTCCCGACGTTTACAAGCGGCACAACCGGTTTGTCAACACGAGTCGCGCCTTACCAGCGCCATCCCCACGACGACAAAGATGTCCCGTGTACTCTTAGCGGACTGTTTGGGGCAAGTGCTGTTAGCGAGCACCTATGAAGACCGGCACTGTGGCACACGAGGAGGTGGGTAGCCAGCACCACTCCCGGCCGCCGTTGTCTCCCCAGTGGCGATGTTTACTACACACCGCACCAGGTACTCATTTGGGGCTGAGTCGATATTAGGGGTCGTCCACCACCCGGTTCATACATCCGCCGCTATTTTTGGTTGTGAGCGGGAATCTTTGGACCGCCGGGTTCGTAGCGCAACGCGCTAACCGCTGCGCCACCGCTCCCTGCCACCCCCGTACCCACCACCAACCACACGGACAGGGAATGAATGAAGGACACCACCACCAGCACCACCAACCCTTGTGTTGCACCGCGGGAGGCTGTGCTGGCTGGCAAGTCGCTCACTCACCGGGCAGCAGACGGGCATGACCTTGCAGGACCTTGCAGGCAGCAGCAGCAGGGCACGGCTGTTGTAACTCTCACCCCGCAATCTCATACCCGTACGGGCACGCACAGAGGCACCCACACAGCCACACACAATGTCACGGAGCGGAAGAGGCCGTGGTGATTATATTTGAGATCCTAGCGGCAGGGGGCGTTCATTTTTCTCCACTTGTTGCCACACATTGGCCCAAGTGTCGAGTCGGTTACCTCCCCAGAGGACCCCTGCTTACGATGATTTTCTGCCATTAGTTTAAGTTTCATTTATTTGGTATAGCACTGTGAGCCATGCGGCTCTTGATTCGGGTGCAACCGCAACAAAACAAAAACATGAACAAGAAAAACATCTTAAAGCGACTACGCGCAACAGAAAAAAATCCAGGGACAAAAACAACAAAGTCTTCCAGAAAAAAATAAAGCACCGCATTTCAACGCCGTGTGGCAAAAAAAAATCCCAGTGGGATGCAAGTCGAACAATAACAACCAGAAGACGCACACTTTGGTCCTGTCGGTAAAGTCTGTCGGTAAAATACAATTGTCTACCCACGTGACTTTACCGAAAGAACCAAAGGGTACGGATTCCTGCAGTCACGAAAGCTGCAAATCAAGATTGAACCATAAGACCATTTAGATGAAAGTTATCAGGCGAACTCTGCATCCCGTGTCGCGAGCGCGCGCGACCGGGAGGGGGTAGGTTGCCGCGGTGGCTGTTTATGATGGGAGGGACATGCGGTTGACTAGGAGGTGCCAGTGGTGCGTTCAATGGAGAATACCGGTTTGGGGATTGGAACTGTGAAACTCGTCGCGTGGTTGCGAAAAGGTGAACAGGGAAATGAGAATATGATACTAAGCGTGCTTTATGAAACATACCACCCATGTCTCTACCCGTGGTGGACACTGGTAGGATGTCCCCCCCCCCCCCCCCCTGAGGTAGGACCGACCAATCCCCTTGTAAATATCGATACTATAGAATCGCCGAGATATGGCGATACCACGATATGTCGCACGATATAAGATCCACGATAATCATATCGCCACTCGCTTTTTGTTTTGTTTTACAGAATATCGTATCGTAGATGGTTGTTTGCCGTTTGTGTTTCTTCTGAAGTACAGCATGTTATATTCTTGGTTCTTTCGGTAAAGTCACGTAGAAGGGAAACAATAAAATATTTTTTCTTTTAATATTTTTTCTTATTTTATTGTTTCCCTTCTACGTGGTGACTTTACCGAAAGAACCAAGAATATGAATCCCTGCAGTCACGAAAGCTTTAAATCATAATTTACAGCATGTTACTTTCCTGAGAAACCTATACAATGAATAGAAAACCTCCATAGGTGAAGTTTGCTAATGTTTTTAAAAATTAGTGCTTTGTTAAATGGTTTCTGGAGTCTGTGAGGGCAGGGCGATCACGTGACGTCAGTGACTTTCCAAATAAGTTTGTGCAACTAGGAACAAATTTTGATTTAAAGCTTTCGTGACTGCAGGGATTAATATTCTTGGTTCTTTCGGCAAAGTCACCACGTAGAAGGGAAACAATAAAATAAGAAAAATATTAAACGAAATTTTCTTGCTGTGGTTTTCACACCTGATGATGATGATGATTGCTTGTGTTGCAGTCGAAACGTCGTGATAATTTTATTGTTTTATATTTTTTATTATTTTATTGTTTCCCTTCTACGTGACTTTACCGAAAGAACCAAGAATATGAATCCCTGCAGTCACGAAAGCTTTAAATCAAGAATGTAACTAGGAATAGCTTGTGTGTTACTAATAGGGTTTTTGTGTAGCTGGAAGCAGCTTGTGTGTTACTAATAGGGTTTTGTGTAGCTGGGAATAGCTTGTGCGTTACTAATAGGGGTTTTGTGTAGCTGGAAGCAGCTTGTGTGTTACTAATAGGGTTTTGTGTAGCTGGGAGCTGCTTGTGTGTTACTAATAGGGTTTTTGTGTAGCTGGAAGCAGCTTGTGTGTTACTAATAGGGGTTTTGTGTAGCTGGGAGCTGCTTGTGTGTTACTAATAGGGGTTTTGTGTAGCTTGGAGCAGCTTGTGTATTACTAACATGGTTTTTTATGTAGCTGGAAGCAGCTTGTGTGTTACTAATAGGGGTTTTGTGTAGCTGGAAGCAGCTTGTGTGTTACTAATAGGGTTTTTGTGTAGCTGGGAGCTGCTTGTGTGTTACTAATAGGGGTTTTGTGTAGCTGGGAATAGCTTGTGTGTTACTAATAGGGGTTTTGTGTAGCTGGGAGCTGCTTGTGTGTTACTAATAGGGGTTTTGTGTAGCTGGGAGCTGCTTGTGTGTTACTAATAGGGGTTTTGTGTAGCTGGGAATAGCTTGTGTGTTACTAATAGGGTTTTTGTGTAGCTGGGAACAGCTTGTGTGTTACTAATAGGGGTTTTGTGTAGCTGGGAGCTGCTTGTGTGTTACTAATAGGGGTTTTGTGTAGCTGGAAGCAGCTTGTGTGTTACTAATTGGGTTTTGTGTAGCTGAGAGCTGCTTGTGTGTTACTAATAGGGTTTTTGTGTAGCTGGGAGCTGCTTGCGCGTTACTAATAGGGGTTTTTGTGTAGCTGGGAGCAACTTGTGAGTTACTAATAGGGTTTTGTGTAGCTGGGAATAGCTTGTGCGTTACTAATAGGGGTTTTGTGTAGCTGGAAGCAGCTTGTGTGTTACTAATAGGGTTTTGTGTAGCTGGGAGCTGCTTGTGTGTTACTAATAGGGTTTTTGTGTAGCTGGAAGCAGCTTGTGTGTTACTAATAGGGGTTTTGTGTAGCTGGGAGCTGCTTGTGTGTTACTAATAGGGGTTTTGTGTAGCTTGGAGCAGCTTGTGTATTACTAACATGGTTTTTTATGTAGCTGGAAGCAGCTTGTGTGTTACTAATAGGGGTTTTGTGTAGCTGGAAGCAGCTTGTGTGTTACTAATAGGGTTTTTGTGTAGCTGGGAGCTGCTTGTGTGTTACTAATAGGGGTTTTGTGTAGCTGGGAATAGCTTGTGTGTTACTAATAGGGGTTTTGTGTAGCTGGGAGCTGCTTGTGTGTTACTAATAGGGGTTTTGTGTAGCTGGGAGCTGCTTGTGTGTTACTAATAGGGGTTTTGTGTAGCTGGGAGCAACTTGTGAGTTACTAATAGGGTTTTGTGTAGCTGGGAATAGCTTGTGCGTTACTAATAGGGGTTTTGTGTAGCTGGAAGCAGCTTGTGTGTTACTAATAGGGTTTTGTGTAGCTGGGAGCTGCTTGTGTGTTACTAATAGGGTTTTTGTGTAGCTGGAAGCAGCTTGTGTGTTACTAATAGGGGTTTTGTGTAGCTGGGAGCTGCTTGTGTGTTACTAATAGGGGTTTTGTGTAGCTTGGAGCAGCTTGTGTATTACTAACATGGTTTTTTATGTAGCTGGAAGCAGCTTGTGTGTTACTAATAGGGGTTTTGTGTAGCTGGAAGCAGCTTGTGTGTTACTAATAGGGTTTTTGTGTAGCTGGGAGCTGCTTGTGTGTTACTAATAGGGGTTTTGTGTAGCTGGGAATAGCTTGTGTGTTACTAATAGGGGTTTTGTGTAGCTGGGAGCTGCTTGTGTGTTACTAATAGGGGTTTTGTGTAGCTGGGAGCTGCTTGTGTGTTACTAATAGGGGTTTTGTGTAGCTGGGAATAGCTTGTGTGTTACTAATAGGGTTTTTGTGTAGCTGGGAACAGCTTGTGTGTTACTAATAGGGGTTTTGTGTAGCTGGGAGCTGCTTGTGTGTTACTAATAGGGGTTTTGTGTAGCTGGAAGCAGCTTGTGTGTTACTAATTGGGTTTTGTGTAGCTGAGAGCTGCTTGTGTGTTACTAATAGGGTTTTTGTGTAGCTGGGAGCTGCTTGCGCGTTACTAATAGGGGTTTTTGTGTAGCTGGAAGCAGCTTGTGTGTTACTAATAGGGGTTTTGTGTAGCTGGAAGCAGCTTGTGTGTTACTAATAGGGGTTTTGTGTAGCTGGGAGCTGCTTGTGTGTTACTAATAGGGGTTTTGTGTAGCTGGGAGCTGCTTGTGTGTTACTAATAGGGGTTTTGTGTAGCTGGAAGCAGCTTGTGTGTTACTAATAGGGTTTTTGTGTAGCTGGAAGCAGCTTGTGCGTTACAAATAGGGGTTTTCCCCCCATTCCCAGTTACCGAATGGGGAAAACTGATTAAAACAACGGTTACCGGTTTTCAACGTTCACATCAATACATTTGACCTGTTTAGCTTCTAAACTGAGAAACGAACGGAGCTGCCAAGCGGTGGGATGCTTAGCACGCTGCAATTACAGAGTTCCGATCTATCGGCGTGGCAGTTGAAACAATGGGGGACATTAATTTAACATCCCCAACCAGGGTACTCTGCACCGTTATTATATTAGCAGGTTTTTGCGTGGTGGGTTAAAGTGTGGGTAACGCCAACCTCTTCCGACACGTCCGGCGAGCATGCAGGAGTTAGACTAACTACCGTCCAGAGCTCCCTCGAGCGTCGCTCTTCCGCCAGCACTTGCAGGGTTGCGCCTTTACACGAGGCTCCTGTCGTGGTAGTTGCCGTGCTGATGATGGCGATATTGGGACACCGTCACCTGCTCCCAATGCGACATTGCAAGTGTTGGGCGCATTTTATGAAACGTGTCAAGGTCAGGGGCGGAGCCAGGATTTTCAGCCCGGGGTGACATTCAACAAATTTTAATTTCAAGAATGATTTAGAGAGAGTCAGGCTATTGAACTAGACGCCATCGGTTGGCGGACACGCTCTGACAATGCAGTTGCACGGAGTCCGCCAGACCGAGTGTCGTACACTTATACGCGGAATGTCAACCCCTGTCACCACCCCCCTGGCTCCGCCCCTGATCAAGGTAACATTTTTATTGTAGTTTATGAAGCGATTTTTTTTCTTTTTGCATATGCGTCAAGACGATGCGAGAGGTTTAAAACGGGAACTTTAACTGCAACGTCAACCGGAGCTTTAACTGGAACTAGTGACGTTCAGACAGAAATGTTACTCGTGAACAGAGAGTTGGTGTCGTGAATGCGGCCATTCAGGGTGGCGCTCGATGCAGTCACCCACGCTGTAATAATAAATGAATCACCAGAGCTCTCAGAAAGCGAGGCCTGCG